CTCCTGAATGTCTGACCTTTTGAAGTCAGTTTGTCGATAATTACATGTTCCTCAATCTTCGAGATAAAATCTCGCAATGGGAGTGGGTCAGTTTTAACTCATCTGGCGGCTAGAACTTTACAAGCCCCCAGCGTTATCAAATTCAGGGTTTTTGAGTATGTTTGGGTAAACCATCAATAGGTCGTGAACGCAGCAACCCCCATGGAGAGGTCAATTGGCCTCTGAAGAACTGTAGCCGCTAGGTCCCTTACACTCTTTCATAACCCATGTAACTTGGGACAGTCCCACTACATATGTAAATATGTGCCTCTATGGATGCACAATTGCCTGCGGAGATCAGTTGGATTCCTTCCTAAGATTTTTAACATTTGTTCCTGTGAGAGAACACATATTTTGTATGCTGCTTCACAAATCTAATCCCACTCACCCTCTCTAGTGCTCATCACAAATCCAACTCCCAGTGAGTTACATATTTTAAGGGTCCACGCAACGAAGGTTCCTCACACAAGTGCACATATAAGAGGTTAATAATCCCTAATTGTCAAGAGTGTCACCTGGTTTAAATTCTAAAAACAGACTACCGACCCGATAAATGACAGTATCTTTGTATACCCGCTATCTCGAAGTTTCTAAAGTCATGTGGTCTTATGCCCGGGGCAAATTGCCTATTTTGCAAAACCGGAGCTAAGGGGTGCTAGCAAGTTTGTATTTAGTTTTCATTTTGTCCCAAATTTAAAGTTTAAAATATATATAGATACGATGAAGGATTTTTATTTTTTTTTCCAAGCCATATATAGAACGATGGTAAATCAGAAGCCATCAGACCTGCTTCAAGATCATCTCATTGGTGATGCCCAGGGGGAGCATGCCACATTAATATTTGAGACAAAGTAGAATAGGATTAAGTTAGGAAGGCCTAAATCAGCCCTACTATTTGGTCTATACCAGTGATGGCTATCCTTGACACCATAAAATATTTCTGGACTACATTTCCCATGATGCTTAGCTAGCTTTTAGAATCTAAAAGCTAGCTGAGCATCATGGGAAATGTAGTCCAGAAATATTTTATGGTGTCAAGGTTAGCCATCATTTTAATACAATAGATTCTTGTTTGGTCTGTGGTGCTTATTCTACCAAATAAATGCATCTATTTCTCTCTGTATATATGAAAACAGGGGGCTGCAGTCACCTGAACATGCATACATGGAGTGCTGCTGGGGCCCATTAATACAATACACAAGACAGCCAAGAATAGGAGCAGAAAAGGCTTTCTTCTCCAATCTCAGCATACCATGCCAGATCAATGACTAGACAGGTATTCTCAAAAAACCAAAACAGGTGGATCAAACTAGGTAGAACCTGAGAGAAACGTTTAGGGGTAAGGTTAGAGGAAGGTTGGCGTAAGGGTTAGATTCCTGTCATCATTCCCTTAATTTTACCTCCCTCACCTGTTTTGCCACTTTCCATAAATCCGAAGCACTTTGGCAATTTGGTTCAGATCGGGACTTCCAAAATTCAGAAGCAGCGAATGTCTGAATTTAAATTCGGACCGAAACAAATTGCACATGTCTAGTCCCTACTTTTTATTAGTATATCTTTTGACTGGGCTGGAATTTCAGTGAAATTCCAACATAGTCAATGAGTATTTCCTGAAGATTTTGCCTTCTAAAGAAATTTTTGATTACATTAAAATTAAGGGTTTTCTAGATTAAAACCTATACAGCAGTAACTGCAATAAAATAGAACTGGAGAAATTTTTTTTTAATTTTTTTTAATTCTTTATTTTTGAGTGCAGAGGTAAATATACGTTTCAGCAATATAACATGGCTTTAGAAAAAGATTGACAATGTTCCGTATAGCATATTCATGGTGTGCTGCACTTTTTCTTTTTTTTAACAGGATTAATATCAAGATATAAAACAGGCTTGTCAACATTTTCTGTTGTATGTATTATAACAGGAGATAGCTTTCTTCCAAGCGCATCTGAGAGGAGTGGTGGGTGTTAGGTGTCTCGAGAAGATAGTCTCTATCTAGGCTCTATAGGTGTGCCCTTATGATGTGTGAGAGGGTCGTATGAGGTTCTGTGTGGAGGTTTGCAGTGGCATCCCATGTGTATGCCTGTGGTATTCTGAAGGAGTTCCCCGGTGTGTGGGGTGTCATTTGCCTAGTGGCTGCGATATTAGGGTACGTGGCCAGGAGCTCTGCCAAGGCATCTGAGGGGAGATGTGTGACCTCCTCTTTATGTGTTGCCCCTAACCCAGGGGGTGTGGGGGGGAGGGGGGTTGCAGTGTCAGTGTGCCTCAAGGAGTTTGTCTCTGCAGGTTCTAGCGCTCTGGTAGAGCAGTGGTCTGGAATGTGTATAAGAGAGATACAGAGAAATCAGAAAACCAAATATACAAATGCAACTTAAATCAAAACAGGTATAACGACTTGTGTTGAATTTGCCCCAGAAGTTTTTTATTCCGGTGCCGTGGCCATAAGCATTGGCCCAGTCCCCATTAGTTGTCAGCCGTCCGTTGCCTGTGATCCTCCGGCTCTCGGGACAAAGGGGGTGATGTGGTCAGGGTCCCACGTGCCCCTGGGGGTGGTCGACAGTGGGTCCTGATGGCTGTCCATTAGTCCCAGTGCTTGGATGAAGGCCGGTGCCCCCTCTATTGATGTGAGTGTGTGATTATTTCCATTGTTGGTTACCACAAGCGTTCCTGGGGCTCCCCAGCGGTAAGGTATGGCTGCAGATCGTAGCTGAGAGGTGACTGTGCCCAATGACTTCCTCCAGACTAGGGTATTTTTGGTGAGGTCTTGAAAAAATGTTAACGAGGAGCCTTCGAAGTTTAGAGGTGTTTTATTCTTCAGTGCCATCATGATCTGGTTCCTGTCTTGTGAGGTTAAGCAGCGGAGAATAACGTCTCGTGCTGTTCCCGTTGGTGTTTTAGGCGCGCCCGAAATGCGATACACTCCGTCCATAACCATCTTTTTGGCCGTTGTGTGGGGCAGTATGGATGTGATTAATCTACGTATGTAATGAGGTTGCCACGGATTTTTATGTGGTTCCTGCGCTGTTTATCCTCCAGGGCTGAGATTTGGTGTGTCAGTGTGACTTGAGTGGTTTGCAATTTTTGTACTGTCTCTTTAAGGGCCATGATGTCCGTTCTGGCAGCTAGTATGTCCTTTTCAGAGGTTTGTACTCTGTCAGTTATGGCCTGTATATCAGTTCTCAGTGCCCTGAGGTCAGCAGTCCACACTTGTTGAATGTCATTAAGTAGGAGTTTTAAATCCTGCTTTGTTGTGGGTGCAGACCCGTCCGGGTTGTCAGTTATGTGTAGTAGACTTGCCTGGGTGGTTGGTGCAGCCTCTTGTCTGTCCTGCGCCCGGTTCTCCTCATTCCGGTCTCCAGCAGGGGTCAGCTTAGGCTGCACGGGCTGTCTCAGCATGTCCCCAATGTCTCTGCCGTCAGCCACTGTGTTTGGCTTTTGGGATCGTCTCCCCATTGCAGTCCAGTGTTCCGGTTGCGGCAGAGAGGTTATGGACTCCGTTCCCTGCGGGTGTAGTATGGTGCTGGTGTGGAGGAGTGCTTCCAGTCCCAGGCTCAGAGGTGTGCTGTAGGCCGCGGATTTTCGCCGCGGTTTGGAGTGCTTTGTCGTATGAAAGAAAGGCATCTATCGATGCGTTATGGCTCTGGGGACCCAGCTGTGGCGGTAAGACGGTCGGATGGGCTATAGTTGCTTGGATATTTGGTTGGATTTAATCGGTTGTTTGGGAGCTCTCAGATATGGCGTCCGCTTGTCAGACTTGCAGGCTCCGCCCCCCTGGAGAAATTTTTTAACGATAAATGCCACTCAAAATATTTACGAAATGCTTTAGACCATTTACCTCAGAAAATCAAGAAACACCAAGTCCTGTAAGCATAAGGTGGTCTCAAGATTTAATTATTCCCATTGATTATAAGGAATGGTTGATATCTATCAGATTAGGTTGGGGGGGGACCTAATGACCCTATAGTGCCAAGATAACAAGTTTTTCCTGGCACTATAGTGATCCTTTAATTAAACCTTTATGGTTACTAGTATTTGAGAAGTTAAAATTACTTACTAAACTCAACTTAGAAAAAAAGACCAGAAACTGCTTTGCTCCAATTAAATTGGTACATAGTCTCTAACCTAAAAACAATGATAATTATAAACTTTTTTTGCCGCTACAATTTTTTTAATATCCAGAAACTGGAGTGAAACTAACCCTATAACCTGGTTACACCTAAAAATCAAGTCCTATATCAACACAGGCCTTAGATGGATAAAACCTTCAGTCATCACCAAAAGCAATTATGCCTAAAAGTAGTATGATCAAAAACAATAATATTCTCTTTATCCATTCACTTACTTATCTTTCCTTTTTTCTTTTTCCTTTATTTATCAGGAGATGTCCTTCTTATGGTTCGTAATTCGTCTTGTAAAAGTGTAACAGTATGTTAGTAAACCAAAACCATTGAGTATTGCTTGTGTATATGTATTGTTATGATGTTTAAAAAAAAAAAAAAAAAATATATATATATAAATAAAGGAAAAAATGTGATATATATATTTTTTTAAAAAGATTTTATCTTTACAAAATACTCATTTTGCAGGTTACAGTGCTACTTTAAATATAATTTATAAATATATCTATCTATATATCTATCTATATCGAAATAGTCTGTGGATAATTAATACAATGTTAAACAAAAATCTGCACAGGAGTTAAGTCATCAGACTTGCTTTTCCCACAGAAATCACAAACTTGCAGTGATGGTACTACCGCAAAGGATTCTGGGTGGGCACATGCAAATTAGTTTAACAAGGAATCACATTTTTGCCTAATTCCATTTTAAATATGGATATGTATATAGAACACACACCTCAATCTATAAATTAAAATGTTCTGTGTGTAACTATGGTGACTAACAACAAAAACACCAGATTAGAGATGAGAAATAAAGACAAACAAAATAAATACACAACAAGTACTTAAATAAGAATGTTCTTTAAAATTTATTTGACTAAATGTGTTACATTCAATATTTGATGTGTTCCTTTTTGGAGAAAGGAGATTGGTATGAATAGAAACCATTTTTCGTGGCCTAACTTGAAAGAGGTAACAGGAAACCCGCAGCACAGATCCCAAGTCTTTTTATATACAGTGACTTGAAAATCCTGTGCCTACGTCTCTTATTTACATAAAAATACAGAAAGTGGGGAAGGTTGTGCGTTTGCAACACACGAATATTCATATAGTGTATATATGATTACAGAAGTGGGACATTAAAAATTACATACACAAAGCTACATTCTATAGTAGCAAACCGTGAGCGACTAAACATAAAATTTCGCTGAGATCTGAAAAAAAGTAATTGCTTTAATAAAAATTTTAATAGCTTAAATTAAATGTGAAATGCTAACAATATACTCAGAGTTTCAATTAATCAATTAAACTTGAAGAATACGTCAGTGCACAAATCCTTTGATCCGCACTAAAATATGCAATAGGTCAAATTTGGGAAAAGAAGACTTTTTTAAAAAAAAAAAATAAAAAAGCTTAAAAAGGAACAATATGAAATATATTCGGAAACAAAATGCCACGTGCCTAAATTTTAAGTGAAAAGTATTTCAGGCAAAAAAAATAAATAAAAAATAAATCAAATAAAAAATTGAAGGCTAAATCTAACAAAATGTATGTACATTTAAATGTCAAATATGCTTAGACTATTTACCCTTAAAGAGGGACCAGCCCCCTGAACAGCAAAAGTGTGAATTCATGGCATTTGGATCTGCATGTACATAATTTGGATCACCCTAGATCGTTGAAGGAATTTAGGATTTTTTTGTAACTCGTTTGACTACCAAAAAAAAAAAAAAAAAGACTTGTAATCCAGATTGCATTTATTAATAAATACTGATAAAAGGCTAGGCAGGCTGGAAATTTGCATGGGGAGTCCAGAGTACAGGGACGGAAGGATTTGTTTTGAAAATGGTGGGTCAAGTTACAGGTGTCACATCCAGAAGTGATTGAACCATTGCCTAGGTTGGTGCAACCATGACAACATTTTATGTATTTTTCTAGATGTGATCTTCGGATATGAGCCTATATTAGAAAGAATGCTTGAATTGTGATTTTATATTAGGATGCAAATAAATAGCTTGGCTGTGCTTAGTACAACTGACTCTGAAGAAGACTGCTGGAGAGGTAACAGAACAAGGCATTGTTCCATTGTGGTGTTTTCTATGTAATGTCAAATCCAGAAAATACAAAAGGTATAGTGATTTCAAGTAATTGAAAGCATCTAAAAGATATATGAGAGAAATGTTTCTGGCTTGATACAAGTATAAGCCTTATATAGAGTTTCTTTGTTGAACAGCTGCAGTAAAAAAAAAAAAAAAAAAGGAATTTTAAAGGCAGACATCTATTTAAGATTGTCTCAAAACAATTTCCAGAGGTTCACACTTCCAAAAATATTTTAAACTTATGGGTAGTGGCAGAAGCATGAAAAGTGCAGTCCTACATTTTTCTCTTCATTGACAAATATCGACTGATATATCGACTGACCTGGGCATCCCCTACATCAGGCTTCCCCAAACTCCGGCCCTCCAGATGTTGCTGAACTACAACTCCCATGATTCTCAGCCTATTTCATTCATAGAATCATGGGAGTTGTAGTTCAGCAACATCTGGAGGGCCAGAGTTTGGGGAAGCCTGCCCTACATGATAGAGAAAATGGCTTTCTAGAATGCAACCACTTGTGATCCAGAAAAATGTGTTTCATCAACCATTACACTACTCAAAAATGACCACTGGTTTAACAGAATAAGCAAACACATAAAACATTACCAGTCATAAATAAACACATACAAAAAAAAAAAAAAGTTCTTAGATTAAGAAGAGTGAAATAAAAATACACAAACACTCACACATGTAACTGCAGTGTCAGACTACTTAAAATATAAATATGCAGAAGCCATGTTTAATATGGTAGTCTCTCTAGAGGCACTGCCCAATAATAACCACATACATACTTCCAGCAGGAGATAAATGGAAATAACCCTGAAGATTACAAATATGTTCTCATATCACTTGCTAAAGTGAGATAAAGAAATAGTTCAATTGAAGTGTAAGGTGCATATGGTCTGCTGAGAAATTACTATGGCAGATATGTTTGTCTGTGAAAAACGAGGATTGCATACATTTTGTACTGAACCTTAACCTCAGCTAAAAATAGTTTCCTTACGATCTCCTTGGTTGCTAGCAGAAGATTGCAAATTTACCAACAGGCTGCCCTTCTCCTGCAGAGCAGGTGTGTTATCTACACAATGTGGTCTATTAACACAGTGCATGTTTGCATGGGATATCATTCCTTTAATACCCTACCTAGATGGACTCTTCTCATATCAATTTAGTCAGTCCTTTCAATTAATGCATTCAGTAGACCATTAGCCATTAAAGGACTGCAAATGCATCTACAATACAAGATTCAATAAACAGGTTCATCTTGGTTCTCAGGTAGCCCAGAAGGCAAATGATTGTAAGATGATCCACATGCTGCATAACAGATGAATCTACAGAGGGTGGTTGGTGCCAAATGCATTGCTAGCGCAAGCCTTTATGTTAATCCAGAGAGTCAATTTCAGTTTGGATTTCTCGGTGGTGTGTTACAGAGGCTTCTCCATGACACATTCAGTGCATCAGCTCTTTTTTTTTTTGGTTTCCAGATACTACTGGAGATGTCCATTCAGTGTAATCCCTTTTCACGTGGAGCCCCATTAGGGGCTGTGGTTTAAGGGGTGCAGCTTTTCAGGCCAACATCGTGGAAAAGAGATGTGTAAAACTCCGGTTCTAACTGTCTGTTTCTGTATTTGTTGACTATGTCTGTGATCTTCTGCTTTCGTCGCACATGTGGGGGGTTGTAGGAGTCACTTTCTAATCTTTTCCTCCGGCATATATTGATGACTGTCTGTCTTACTAAAAAGCCTAAAAATAAGAACGAAAAACATGTTCAGTTGGACTATGAAAACCCATAGAAGAACTGGTCTAATTTTCTATTTATGAGTTTGAAGTATTTGACTTTTCTCAGATTTGACTTAGATTTAACCGCGTTTGTCAGATGGGAGGCAAGACAATTCTGAAAAGGAACTCAAACACCAACTACCTAGAAGAAGAAATAAGGAGGCAATACATTTAATGTAGGAGACAGAGATTGAGATAATTATAGCTAGAAGGCAGACTGAAACTTGGGATGACCATTGAATGATAGGATGATTATAAAAGACAGCATGGGATCCTTTCCCCACTCTCTTCCCCCACCCCCCTAAGAAAGAAAAAACAAGTCACCCAAGGCTCTTCTGCTAACCACCATTCCATCGACCAAGGGAATCACCATGTTAAATTTCCCCGAAGCTCCATGCACCTTGACACGAAAAAGACCAGTGTACAAGGGGTGGATGAATATCACTGGCACTTCTTTCTCAGGTGCACTGTTTCTGAAAAACAAACAGAAAACATTTAAACTAAAAGCCCCAGTACAATATACCAAGAACAACATGATGTTTTGACTCTTACTTGAGAGAGGTGCTGCTGTTTGTAGTGGTTTCAATCCCAGTGCTGGTTTCTGCCACCAGGTCAGACAATGGGAAGTTGTCTACATGGACAGGGGGTAGAGAGACAAAAAAAGAAAACACAATAGTATTACCAGATTGGTTTTACCTGACCATTATCCACAAAGTAATGAAATGTGTATATGTCCATAAGGTAGATATTTTATAGGAAGCGTGCCATTTTAAATGATGTATGAAGATCTAGGAACCAGCATACAGTCTAAGTTCTGCAGAGTGTCCATACCTAAATCATCATACTGCTCTAGCCACACAACTGCCACCTTGGTCTCTGGACCCATGGGAGGAACTGTGCGTCCCTGTGGTAATTTCTTAGTGCGAGATGTTGGACTCAGCTAGACAAAGAAAAGAAACATGTATTGTGATCTTTAAAATAAGGTTTTATGCTTACTAATACACTTCTCATCATTTGTAACAGTGCAAGATAGTCCATAATGATCGGTTTTCTAGGCTCCTCCAATATGAAGAACACACCTAGAAATGCCAACACTACTATTTTTTACACACTTATGATTTAATGAGACCCAAAAGGTTGAACAATTAAAGAAACAGATTTGGAATGAAGGATTAGTCCACACGTGCGGCCACTATTTGGAAAGAAACTGGTCGATAAATATTTTCTTTTTCTGTAATAGTGGCAGCATGCACAGAATGTCTTCAAAGTGACACTGAGCATCAAAACCACTACAGTTGGCTAATAATGCTTCTCCCTTCTCAATGGTGGTACAAATATCTAGAAAGAAGCCATGAACTGAAAAATGGAAGAAAAAAAAAAAATTCACTTAAATTCTTTTTATTTTACCCGATGTGCAGAGTTCAGGGTTTCTGTGTGATTAGGGAATAGTTCAAGGGTTAGAGGTTGCTTTAGTATCCCAGGCAGAAGATCCATATTTGAGTCTCCATCAGTTTCAGACACAGTACAGTCCAAGGAGTCCGCTTTGAATTAAAAAAGCAAAGCATTAATTAGTTTATACTACGGCAGACTTATTTGCGGTGAGGGTAGCATTACAATGTAAAAACTAGGGATGCACCGAAATAAAAAATTCCCACTCGATTTTTGGCAGACTTGACCCATTTTTGGCACATCCCTAGTAAAAACAAACCAATTTTCTCTCTCTTTCAACATACAGTATATAAACCAATATACACTATATGGACAAAAGTACTGGAAAATTTGATCATTACGCCAACACAGACTTTTATTACATTGCATTCTAAATACATAGACCTTAATATGATGTTGCAGCTTTCACTCTTCTGGGAAGGCTTTCCACAAGATTTTAGAGTGTTTCTGTGGAGATTGTTGCCCATTCATCCAGTAGAGCATTTGTGAGGTCAGGCATTGATGTTGTATGAGAAGGCTTGGCTCATGATTTCCATTCCAGTTCATTGCAAAGGTGTTTGATGTGGTTGAGGTCAGGGCTCTGTAAAAACTAATCAAGTTCTTCCACACCAAACTCATCCAACCAAGTCTGTATGCACCTTGCTTTCTGCACTGGGGCAAGTCATGCTGGAATTGAAAAGTGCCTTCCCCAAACCATTCCCACAAAGTTGGAAACTTAGCATTGTCCAAAATGTTTTGATATCCTGAAGTATTAAAACTGATGTTCACCCAAGAAAATAAGACAGAGTCATATTAATTTTTGCCCCGAAAAACGCATTAGCGCCTATTTTCGTGGGGAAAAAATTAGCAAGCATGTGCAAGAAAGCAGGTCTATGTTCAGGGAAATTCTCCCAAACATAGACAAGTTCACTAGGGCATGAAATCCCGCAAATCTATGTTTGGGAAAACTTCCCTGAACATAGATTAGCTTACTAGCGCAGGGAATCCTACAAATCTATTTTCAGTGGAAACTTCCCCGAACATAGATTAGCGAACTAGCAACTGGGCTTATTTTCAGGGTAGGGCTTATATTACAGCTATGGCTTATTTTCGTAAAAAACAATTTCCCTTAACTGCAAGTAACCCCTGAAAAACACCCCTGTACATTTACCTCCTCCTCCAAACTTTAAACTAGGCTGTCAGGTAATGTTCTCCTGGCACCTGCCAAATCCAGACTCGCCCATCAGACTGCCAAACAGAGAAGCGTGATTTGTCACTCCAAAGAATGTTTTCACTGCTCCAGAGTTCAGTGCTGGTGTACTTTACACCACTCGAACCGATGCTTAGCATTGTACTTTGTGATGTGAGGCTTGCATGCAGCTGCATAGGCAGCAGATGTTTGGAACTCTTCAACTATGGTATCAGCGTGTTGGCAATTTTTTACGTACCATTTTTTACGACACACCGCTCTGTGTCTTTATGTGATCTTCTGTTTCATGGCAGAGTTGCTGTTTCTAAACGCTTCCACTTTGCAATAATACAACTCACAACTGACTGGAATATTTAGCAGAGAAGAAATATCACAAACTGACTGACTCATTGCAAATGTGGCGACCAAGCTCTTCAGAATGACCTATTTTTATCACAAATGTAATTAAAAGCAGATTGCAAGGCTAGGGGCTTGATTTTATACACTTTGGCAATGAGTCTCATAGAAACAACTGAATACAATAATGAAGAGGTATGTACCAATACTTTTGTCCATATAGAGTATTTTCAGTACAGTGCTTTCTTACCCCAAATAAAATCCATTAGCCTAACAGCACATTTCAATCTTAGAATAGCAAATTTATTAAATAAAGGAAAACATGCATATAAAACATTTATAGATAGGACATTGGTTTTTGAGACAATCAAGATAAAATGTTGGATGAAAATACTGACGCAGAGACTCTGTGGGGGATGGAACAACAAATGCAATCTCGGTCAATGCATCCGCGTAGTATAAAACTTTCTTCTCTCCATTGAAAACACTTCCACCGGTTTCATTTGTGGAAGTAACATCCTCTGAAAATAAATCACAGCTTTAGTTGCACAAATAATATACATGGACTAGCCAGTTTTGTGAACAAGGAGCAGATCACTAACTGCAATTCACGCTGGAAGTTACCAATCATCATGTGACAAAAGCAGAAACATCAATATATTAAAAAAACACTATAGTGTTAGGAACACAAAAACTGTATTACTAACAATAATATATAGTGTTCCTCTAACTGTGGAACCATTATTCTGAACTTTCATTGTAACACAAAATTACCAGCAGATTGCACCTGGGACTTAAAAATGACTGGGGATTTAATCCTATAGCATGCATCTGTAAACATTGCCACTTTCCATCAACTATATTTCAAAATAATGCACTCCATGTTGTAGTTATTGTTTAATATTAATCAAATAAACCCCTCTATAAATGTAACATATTGATGGGTTTTTCAGATAGAGATTATGTGGGAACTACCCATTTCAAGTTGGAAGTGCTAATTCACTCTACTGAAGAAGCATGATAATGGCACACAGTAGGATAATATGCATTTCCTGTTTTGCAATGCAATAGTTAAATATTCCAGTTTATTCTAGATAAAATGCAGATGTTTGTTGTCTCTAGTATTCAGGATTGTTTCCTGCTAGCCTTGATGAATCAAGCACAGGTTTACCCCTTAAACCTCCATTTTTATTCTAGTAACAGCTGCATTAGAATTTAATTAGGTCTATAAAATGTATAGTGTGTGTATTTGAGATGAGAATGCATAACTCACCCATAAGACTTGCTATACACCCATGATGACAATCTGATAAGAATTTGGATATCAAGGCTATCCGCTTCAGACAAAAAAACAAAACACCTGCACGAATTTAGTAGAATCTACATTCTTATGATCTGCAACATATATGGCCTAACACCCAGAGCCGGCACGACTGCTAGGCGGATTATGCTGTGACCTAGGGTGCACCTGCCCATGGGGTGCATGTTCGGGTGACCGGCAGGAGGAGAGCGCACAACGCAGCACTACCCTTCTGCTGATCACTGCATGCAGCATGGCTGAGCTGCGAACTGTGAGCCCACAGAGGGCCTGGGGAGGGGGGAGAAAGTGTCCCACAAATGGGCTGGGAGAGAGGGGAGAAAGTGTCCCACAAATGGGCTGGGGGAGAGGGGAGAAAGAGACCAACAAAAGTGGCTAGGAAGGAGGAGAAAGAGACCCACAAAGGGGCTAGGAAGGGGGAGAAAGAGACCCACAAAGGGGCTAGGAAGGGGGAGAAAGAGACCCACAAATGGACTAGGAAGGGGGAGAGAAAGAAGCCCACAAAGGGGCTATAAAGGGGGAGAGAAAGAGACCCAACAAAGGGGCTAACGAGGACGAGTGAAAGAGACCCACAAAGGGGCTAACGAGGACGAGTGAAAGAGACCCACAAAGGGGCTAACGAGGACGAGTGAAAGAGACCCACAAAGGGGCTAACGAGGACGAGTGAAAGAGACCCACAAAGGGCTAACGAGGGGAGAGAAAGAGACCCACAAAAGGGCTAACGAGGGGGAGAGAGAGAGAGAGAGACACACAAAAGGGCTAAAGAGGGGGTGAAAGAGACCTACAAAGTGGCTGGGGGCAGGGGAAAGAAACACAATGGGGCTTGGAGAAAAAAAAAGACACACAAAAGATGGCATTTTTTTGGTTGGGGGCAAGTAGCTATCTTGCCTAGGGCGTAAATAGTCTTGCACTGGCCATTCTCACACCCTTGTTATATATTGCTAATCCTTTATTCTCAGCAGTACTGTCATACCTTGATCTTGCTGGTCATTTTCCCCATTGCAGTTAATTGACCAGCTGGTAGAAACATGACCAGTCCACCCTGGGTGTTTCCCTACGTCCACGGGCCAGCCCAAGGAGAGGAGGAACTCCAGAAAGTGCAGCTGAACATTACTGGCAGACTCCACATTCTTCAGTATCTGAAATGACATCTCTTATTTTAGCCTTTACACATATATCCATTAGTTTTGGCATGCAAGGATTAGAATTGGATCATAATGAGCAATGAAAATATTAGCCGTCCTTACCACAATATACCAATAAAAACTTGACTGTACATAAATATTCAAAAACAGTTTTTGTTTAGCTGCCAGTTCAGATGCAAACTTCACTTTGCCCTCCATAATGTAGTTATTTCTTTCCTTGAGAAAGCTTTGGTATCTTTATTTACATTTACTAGAACTTTAACCCCTTAAGGACACAGCTTCAGAAGCTTGACTTACGCTTAATGACACAAGCAATTTTTGCATTTTCTTGCTGTTTGCGTTCAACTGCAATTTGCATCTCTCTCATTTATTGCACCGACACATATTATATACTGTTTTTAAAGGACAGAAAGGGCTTTAATTTGATATAACATATATATATATATATATGCTTACTTATTATAAAAAAATACAGAAAAATGCAAAAAAAATGAAAAATATTGTTTTTTTTTACAGTTTTTGCAATAATAATGTGTGCATAATTAGTGCAGGTTAAGGAAAGTAATTAAAAATAAATTTATTTATTTGTTCTGATTTACAGAATATATAATGTGTCTGGGATTTTAAGTTTTTTTTGGTAGTTACAGGTCACAAAGCACAAGGAGTAAAATAAAATTTTAATGTGGAGCGATTTTAGAATTTGGTATGTTTGTCTTGTAAGCTTAATAGCCATAAAAGAAAACAAAATTGCCACACAAAAGTATATATTTATATAAAGTAGACATCACGGGCTATTTACCTAAGGTTGTTTTGACACTTTCTACGTAGCCATTTCACCGCCAACCTCTGCTAAATATTGGAGTAAAATTGTGTTCTTTTTGGTTTTTGGCACACAAACTTATAACAAAGAAATTCTCGTGTATATTTTGTAAAGTTGGTGTGTGCTATTCCTGTACAAAGTTTTATTTTGTGTTCAGTTACATCTGCTGAGTAAAATGACACCCCCATTGTATGTCTTTTGCACTATTTCGTGAAGTTACAGTGCCATACAGGATACCTGTCCTTTTCAGTATTCACAGTAGAATGTTGAGAGATGAATTTAATGAGCCTTAGCTTCCATTTGGGGTATTATAACAGTTTGACTGTTCAAAAACCCCCCACAAAGGCCTACCATTTGTAAAAGTAGACACTCCAGGGTATCTTATAAGGTGCATATTGTGCCTTAACATGCCCCCATTTTTTCACCAATATATGCCAAAGTATGTGGTAAAAAAAAATTTTGTGCATTTTTTACATACGGATTGCATTTTTGCTGGGCGTTTTGTATATTTCATATGTGCCACTAAGTTCAAACCTCCCAAATTATGCTCAGCTAAGTCTTTGGAGTAAAAATACACCCCCAATGAATGTCTTTGTCACTATTTTGTTAAGCTACAGTGCCATATAGGAGACCAAGCCATATCCGTTTTTACCAAACTTTGAATTTTGACGCTGGGCCTATGTGCAATTTCCAAGCATCTTCGCAGGTTTTAAATTCAATCTACCCCACAAAGGCCTACCATTTCTTAAAGTAGACACCCCAGGGTGTTTCAAAAGGTATAGTTTGAACCTTAGCGTGGGATCATTTTTCCGCTAGCTTGTACCAGATGTAGTGGTAATAAGCGTTTTTTCTGCCTTTTTGACATACAAAGTGAGTTTGCACAGTATATTTTGCAAACCTTATGTGTGCTACGACTGTATAATACTTCATATGTTGCTCAGCTATGTCGGCTGAGTACAGCAATACCCCCGTATGTACCTTTGCCAGGTATGTGTGGACATCGGAGGGGCACATTTGGGACACAGCCATTCCAGTTTTTTTCAAACTTTGAATTTTTATGCTGTGCCTATGTCCCATTTTAGAGTATTTTACCAGGCTATATAATCCAAATTCCCCATAAAGCCATACCATTTCTTAAAGAAGACATCCCAGGGTATTTCAAAAGGCATATTTTGAACCTTAGCGTGGGATCATTTTTCCGCTAGCTTGTACCAAGTGTAGTGGTAATAAGCATTTTTTCTGCCTTTTTGACATACAAAGTGAGTTTGCGCAGCATATTTTGCAAACCTTATGTGTACTATGACTGTATAATACTTCATATGTTGCTCAGCTATGTCGGCTGAGTACAGCAATACCCCCGTATGTACCTTTGCCAGGTATATGTGGATGTTGAAGGGGCGCATTTGAGACGCAGCCATTCAGTTTTTTTCTAACTTTGAAGTTTTACGCTGTGTCCATGTTCCAATTTGGAATAGTTTAGACGGTTGGTTATTGAAACTTCCCCACAAACACATACTATTTATTAAAGAATACACCCTGGGGTAATTCAAAAGGCATATTTTGAACCTTGGCGTGGGATACTTTTTTCACTAGTTTGTTCCAGGTGTAGTGGTAATGAGCGTTTTTAAAATGTATTTTTTTACTTTTTATAACTTTTTTACTTTTAAAAACTAGTTTTTAAACTTTTGTTTTGCTTATAAATTTTTTTTAAACTTTCCTAAACTTTCTTAAAACTTTTTTACAGATTTAACATTTTTCTAAGCTATTTTTTTTACTGTTAACCCCTAACTAGCAGTACGCAGCACTAACAGTAAATTCCCCATTTTCCCATAACTCCCACCCACCCCAGCTAGCAAAATATATAGTTATAAAATATTTAAATTAATTAATTAAATAAATTGAACCCCTGAGGGTTAAAAAAATAAATAAAAGTTAATCCTCAGGGGTTAAAAAAAATTAGATCACAGTATAATACTGTGATCTCTATTTGATCGCTGTAGGCAGTGATCGACTGGCAGGGAAGGGGTTAATTTTTATTTGGACTAGGTAAAGTGTGTTTTTTTTGTTTTTATTACTTAAATGTTATTAAAACATTTTTTAAGCTTAATTTTTAACTTTTTAAAGTTTCTTTTAAAACTTTTTTTTAACGTTAACCCCTAGTTAGCCTAACGTCAAATCCCCCAATTCCCCACTAACTTCCACCTACCCCAGCTATCTAAATATATAACTTAAAAATAATTTAATTAATTAATTTAATTAATTTAACCCCTGAGGGTTAAAAAAAAAAAGAATTAACCCTCAGGGGTTAAAAAAAAAATCAGATCATAGTAAAATGTAATCCCTGCCAATTGATCACTGTAGTCAGTGATCAATTGGCAGGGAAGGGGTTAATTTTTTTATTAAAATGGGTAAGGGGGGGGGGACTTTAAATAAACTTTATTTTTTTTAACAGCAGGGGGCAGGATCAGCACTGATCCGGCTCCCTGCACTTCACACAGAACCCGGAAGTGCAGGGAGCCGGTAGGTGAGTATACTGAGCACATGTGCTCGCTCAGACTTGTGGTCAGAGCGAGCACATGTGCTGGGCAGCTTGACCGGGTGCTCCCGGTATGCCTCTAATGCAGAGGCATACCGGGAGCACCATTAACCCCGCGATCGCCGCGATAGCGGCGATCCGGGGTTAATTTTACCGCGTGACGGACGAGGTCCGTCACCCGTCGTTAAGGGTCTCCCCTGCGTGACGGACCTCGTCCGTCACCCGTCCTGAAGGGGTTAAAGTCAAGCAGAATGTCCAGTATAACAAAAAGACATAACCAGCATACAAAATTTCTCACAGAAGCAGTCCATATATAGGATATTATATTTATTCACATTTAAATAGCTGCACATTATTCTGCAGTGCTTTACAATACTATAAAGGGAGATTACACACACACACACACACACACACTATTCCATACCTCTTGGCTTGTTTTCTGACCAGCCTTCATGTAGAAGATAAAAACGGTGTCAAAAGGGCGGCAGGGCAACAAATCCAAATACCCAATGTCATCAAAAAAACCAGGCATGTGTGAGTCAAGTGCAATGAGGTGAGGAGGTAGACGACTATTTGTAGACTCCTAAAAATCAGAAAAGGTTTGGATGTTTAGATTATAAAATTTGACCAAAATACAAGGAAAAACAGACTTTAAAGTTCTAAATCAATAAATAAGAATAAAAATAGTTACTCAGACACCACTCACTACATACAACCACTTCTGATGCCTCCAGATAAGACATTTCATAGACACCACTGAATATAAAAGAACAGGGCAAACCCCCCTCAGTGCTTTCGAACAAACATGCATCCACAACCACATACAGAAAAATTAAATCTCCATGACGTACTCCCTACTGGTCAAAGTGACCCAAACCACACAACTGTCTTACGTCTCAGCTTGGGAGAGGGACCTGGGCCTCCCGATGACCCCATGGATTGGACAGCCAACTGGGATGCCAGGGCAACAGTTACCATCTGTGTTAATCACAAAGAACAGGCCTATAAGACACTAATGCGGTGGTATCACACTCCCCTAAAGTTAAAACAGATGAGACTCTCCACATCAGACCGGTCCTGGAAGAGATGCGGGCAAAAGGAGACATACTATCACCTTTGGTGGGACTGCCAACACATAACACAACTATGGTCAGTTTTGACTACCATACCCGGGGACCCCTGGCCGTGGCTGCTTTCTAAACCGCTGAAAGACACACCCAGAGCACAAAGCAAGTTACTGGTCAAACAAGCCTTAATGACCAGAAGATCCATTGCCACACACTGAGGCGTACTCACAGTCCCGACTATAGACGACGTAAAAAAATAAAAATTAAAAAAAATGGACAAAGCTAGGAAAATGAACAGCAAGTCAGCTCTTATTCATGACAATCATACATTGCGACAAGATATGGGACCCATGGCTCATCGAATTTCCAACTCCCACCTAACACCTGGAGGGCTCCAGGAGAGCGACCCCAACACCACGCAAGACGTGCACACAATGCTACTACCCTGTAATATGACTCTGATAACGATATCTTTGTTCTGCATCACCCCTGTTTCCCCCCTTCTCTTTTCTGTAGCAAACTGTTTGAACGGTGCATTCCCACCGTCTACTTGCAACATATGTAATATTTGCGAAAATAAAAATAAAAATAAAAAATGTTAAAATAAATAAATATATTATATATATATAAAAAAAATATATAAAACCAAGAAGGTTGCACTCACCTGAACATGCATACATTATAGGGTGCTGCTGGGGCCAAAATATACAAAATACAGAATCCAGCACACTTGCTTATTCACTAAACAATGATTTCAAATCTTAGAGATTGTAATAGTTTTATTTAAAAACACCTCACCTAGGCAAAAAATTATGGGGGTTTAGTTACATTATATGATCATACATTGCATAAGCCTGCCAACTACGTCAAAGTACCCCATATTTGGCAGGTCCTATCCTAGTAGCAGCCTAATGCTTGCTCTTATGAGATTAAAACTCAACATGTTCAGGTGAGTGCAGCCCTCTTGGTTTCCTTTATATATTTGGGAGTCCCAGGCCAACTCCTTGGTTTTGCACCCCTCCCTGTTACAGGTGCCTCATTCCAGGACCCTATTTAGCCTTGACTTGCAGAGAGTCCCAGTAAGGAAGTATTTCCCAAGTAAGTGGATTAATCTCATAAGAGCAAGCATTAGGCTGCTACTAGGATAGGAACTGCCGAATATGGGGTACTTTGACGTAGGGGGAGAGAGAGGGAGAGAGAGAGAGCGAGCGTTTATCCCATCACACAAATATGTTTTCACAGTTCAGGTAACAAAACAACATAGGCCATAAGCTACGCAATATCTTCATGCAATCTGTTAAAAGGTTACTCTAGTCAACATATTGGGGAAAAGACCCTGTTAATGCCATGTTTCAGCATAAGATGCCACCAATACAGACATGTTTTGCATTTGTTAGCAACTGGTCTAGATATGTTAATTATATTCAATTCGCAAATGCTGAAAACATAGGCTTCCCTACTTGCATATTATCTCGTCTAAACAGACCAGCAAGTAAAGGCTGCATGTGGTTTGTGGATGCACAGCTTAATCCTCCCCCATAATGCTCTGAAACTTCTTGCATTTTTGATTGTGCAGATTGCCAGATCTGCTCACTGTGTCCCCAAAGCTTTTAAGAACTGATTGTACACTGTCCAACACAAACATCGAAATATGAGTTAGCCTGGAAACTGAGCAGGCAAATCTGCATTAGTTTATGTTAACACACACAAAAAATTAAGATTTTAAAGGCCATCATCGAATGTCATTTAAGTAATTTATCTAACCAGTCATAGCCTTAATGACCTGCTTGATGCTTACCTTCAGTGCTTCAAGAGACAGGAATCCAAAGTGTGAAAGCAGCAAGCGTGCAGTCTGGAACTCCTGTGCTGGAGATGGGGGCTTGCACTCAGTGACTGGGTCTGGATAGTTTTTCTTTCTCCATTCCTCCTCTTTCGCCTTGTTCAATGTTGTCTCATATTGGATTTGGTTTGACATTCCAAGTCTCAGCTTTTCATGCCTTAATTCTAACTGATAAAACCAGACAAAGAACATAGCATAAACTGTTATGAGTGCATACTTGTCTAAGAGCAAATAGCGAGGTCCATTTGCGGAGGGAATTACAAACCACCTCTATAATGTGAAAGACATTTGGAGTACTTGCTAATCTTACAGTAAGTTTTTCTCTTTCCTTGGCCAATGGGTTGCACTCTGGGATCACAAATGGTTTAACACCTTAAGGACATGTAATTATTATTATTTTTTTTAACTATAATAGGGTTTAATGCCTTTAGGGCTTATTGACAGATTTGGTGTGAGAAGGGTTAAATCCCTGCTAAACCAGAGTTTTCCAGGTATTAATGGATACATGGGGGTCCCCTGTGTCACTTTGGGTAATTTTTTGTGGCCCAGGACTTTTTGATGAGTTCTTTGCAGTGCTGAAAATCAGAGCTACAAACAGCTGTTTAAATAGGCATTTAAATGCCTTTAACTAGATCGTGGTTTTAGTATAGTTAGATCCCTTCTCACACCAGGAATCCCAGAAATCAATAGATTCCAGGGGCTCCCCTCTTACAGCTGTGGCCATTTTTAGTGGCCCCAGACTGCATGCAGCTAACCTGTCAAAGTGAGATCAAAATACAGCTCTTTCATATTAAAATGTAGTGTGATCAGAGTTAAACCCCTGCTCACATTTGGAAAAACTGGTATCAATGGATACTTGGGGCTCCCTTCTATCAGCTGGAGCGGATTCCTCATTGTACTATTTGTAGATTCACAACTGCAAGCATACTGCCAGGATGACGCAACCCAAGGAGGGGATCGTGGCAGTGCCAAGGGAGATACTGTACTCTGTACTGATGCCATTTTCAGTTTAACAGTAATCAATCTACACAGATCCTGATCACTGACTGATTAGCTGCTATAGAGATGAATGAGGATTCTGACAGTGATTAAACATGTCACCCATATCTGAATTACTACCGGGATTTTACTTCATTTGCGCTCCAAATAATTTATAGTACTGATTAAAAAGTAAAAAATCAGTGTCATAAATATTACACGCCTGCATCTTGACTGGTCACTGCACTGGAATTAAAAAGCTCTTTCTGCCCACTGTTTAAGCTTACAGCATAAGGAGACAATGGTCTCCCTGCTTTTGGAAATGCAATTTGCAACTGGGATTTAATTTATAATCGAAGGGTCGAATTGTTAGGATTTTTTTGTAGACTGCAAAATCGTCTTATTTGGATGTGAATGGTGAGCCTTCAGTTGACAGCTGGACTATGCATTTCATTAACCTTACTAGCAACTATTTCCAGGCTTCTATGAATACTATTTTGTAATTTTTTTTCCAATTTGACAATTTTTATTTTTCAATAATGTGGGTATATGGGATACAGAAGAGAGGGGAGGTATGGCAGTACATCACATGCTCTCACATATAGTATACATCATAACCGCCGTTACATGGTATATTACATTACAATAATATTTCAATAACATGTTATCCATAGTGTTAGACCTGGGCTTGCTCCCTCCCAATGGGTTCAAGACCCGTCCTGTGCTTAGTCACTGCATGCGTACACTATTTTGTAATTTTAATAGATCTAGCAGATGTGTGTCTATACTGGCTAGGGAAGCTGCACTTACCTCTTCTGTAACAATCTCATGCAAGTCGGGAATGCTTAGGTCAGCTTTAACAAAGGGGATCTTATCCACCTCTTCTGGAAATGGACGATGCTTCACATTGTACTTAATGCCAACATTGCTTTTTGGCTCCGGCCTGCTCTCGGGAATAAACATCTGATAGGGAGAAAGAGATATATATACATACATACATATACATACACACAGAAAACTCATTCAATATAAGAACGATTCTAGCAAGATGGCAGTTTTTGATTAGTGAGGTAACAGAAGGGTTAACATGTGCAGTGATGACTAAAACATGAACACTCCACACTAAAAATAAAATCCCCATTTAGTACCTCTAAAGAAAAACAAACAAGCATTTTAGTTATGCATTTTGTGTTTGGGGGTATATTTAAACACAGCTTGCAGAAGCTGCAGTCCGTATGTCTGCGGCCTTTGCAGTCCCTACACTTTTTCCCTAGCGCAAACTTCTAGTTGAGAAGCCTCTGCTTCTCAAACACAAGCTTTGAAAGTGTGCACACAGCGAGGGGGAAGCAGAGGAAAGCTAGGGGAGAACACATGAGCTGAGTTGCTGTACAATATTATTTCACTCTATTATTAACATTCACACTGCTCCCTATGGTCTTAACAATAGGAATGACCACATATTTGGGTACCTCTTGGTTAACAGAGGATCCAAATTAGTTAAAGAACGATTTGTCGGTAAGATGCAATCAAATCTATTTTAATAAGATCCCTGTTCAGAGATAAGTTGGTAATTTTGCAATGCTGGCTAAATATCTGGATCCTACATGCAAGATTCAGGACATGCCCAAATTTAAAAAAATAAAATAAATACATTTTAATACACACACTGCATTGTTCTGAACTAATGTCCAGATTTGTTACCACTGTATTGCCTTTAGCTTTAGTGTCTGATTTTCACACATACTTTTGGTGAATAACCAATGTACGCTCAGAGAGTGCAATTTCTGCTTGCAAAGCATATGGTTGTAAAAAGTTGCTATTAATTTTAATTTGCAGCAAAACAAAACAAAAAAAATAAAAAAGTAATTAATATCCAAAGATCAGTATCTAATTGAGTATTATTTACCCTCTGACTGGCTCTTGCTGCTCTGGGAAGGTGACACAGTTGCATGGACCAGGCGTGGCGTCCTGACATACCTCGAATCAGAACAGTGATGGATGGACTGGGATTGCCTGCCAAATCAAAACAAGAAGGAAAAAGTCTATTTAATCTCTATCTCACAGACTGTCAGACATCTCAATGGATGAATTAAGCAAGATAAGCACGCACGCACGCCAAAGTGATCTGGCAAAACTGCCAATAAATGGCTTATAGCAACACAGCCAACCAAATTTAAAATGTTGCTTTAAAAACATTGAAATGTTGGTGCAACTTGAATGTTAGATTACGCCTATGTTTTTGTATGTACAATATGCATTGCACAATGCCTTAATACTTCGTTAATTTGCTGGAGTATCTGATTCTTGCTAAGGATGTTTTGGTTTTTAAAGTCAGTCTGTTTACAATGTGCTTCTTCAGTAAAACCCACTTAACATGTAATCAGCAGAATGAAATGTACTACATATGAAGTTCTGAACGTATGCTTCTAACATGGCAGCGGTGGACGGATACTGAATTTTAAAGTGGAAATTTACCATGAATTCCTAACAATTTAAACTTTAGATTAGTGCATAACCTTGACACTAACAGGATATTTTACTAAAGTGAAAATGGTCAGGAATTTTAAGTAAATTACAAACTTAAGGAAATGCTAAATTGGCATTAAATTCAATTTAAATTCTCAACAATTCCCACTTTAGTGAGTAACCATGAGAGGCAGCTGCTAGCTGTGAAACCGCATTCATTTTGACAAAAGCATTCAGTTTTCATTTGTTAAAATAATCCAAATAATCTTTTTAAAAGATCACTTAATCCGATCATGTTCTGTGGTTCTTTCCCTTTTAATAGAACCTGCAAGTTTTTGTTCTGCTACAGACGACATTTAGCAGTTTTTAACTACTGGGTTGTGTGGATAAAGGGATCTCTGAACCCACACACAGGACGTCACAGTACTATTTGCTTAAGCAGTCTAAGTAGTCAAACTACCAACATGGAATGGTCTTCTTACTCTGTTCGTTGCCAAGTGGTTGTTCCAACATTGCTAGGATGACACTGTTGTCCAGGACAAAATAGCGGAAGCTATACTTGCTCACAGTGGGCAGCCGGGAGTAGGTAATCAGGGTCCTCTCATTCACTAGGCTGCAAGGGGAGGCTGGACCACTGGGAGGTGGAAATGCCCCAAGCAACTGCATGATACTACGAAGCAGGTCAGAAAGAAGAGCAAACCGTTACATTCATCACACTATAACTATGGCAGGGATCAAAATGTCCACTCATCGGTAACCATCGTCGAGTGCAAATTTAACACTGGCCAATACAAATTCTTCCTTTATGAAAGGCCACAGATTTTTCAGGCTTGCAGTGGCAAGTAGCATTTAAAGCTTGGCTAGTAGCATAAGACTTGCAATTTGATTTTGGTAAACATCTGTATTTCAGAAAAAATGTAGTACACCACAAAGTAGCGTCTTATGGCTGGAGAGATCATTTTCACATTCTCAAGCCCAGGAAAGTTTCTTCATGTTCCTTTTAAAAGGTTAATGATCCCTTAAACCTTCCATATGAAGTTATAGAGTATGTTTAGTACAGCAAGAATGTAGAGAATATAGAGAAATTGAGTAATGAAAACTATAGGGTTGAAGAAGAAGAAGAAAAAATATATAATCAAATATTTTTTTGCAGTCATATGTGCACTCAAGTTGGCGTGCACTTGCTGCCTTTTATCATATGGCAATTTAAATTACGATCGATAGCGGATAATAAAAAATATATAACTAATAATAAAAAAATAAAAAAAACTGTAAAACCTGTACATGTATTTTGACATATCTATATGTTTATACAAGCAAAACTTGACATCACAAACTCAAAAGCATAAATATTAGTTTGCCCGTGGCCATAATCTACCAGTGCTTAGAACCGAAGTATAGGAGCACTTACCATGTTAATGTGGCTTCTGCAGCATCCTTCACCCTCATAGAGGCTGGATTGTGCTCCTTGTCACCTTTATAACGTACCTCCTGCTGCTCAGATGTTTTTGACTTGCTGCCAGAAATACCCAATTCTACAATCTCCAACACCTCCTTTAAGCAGTCCTACAGAAAGGGTGGTTTAACATTTGCGTGAGGTTTCATTAAAGAATCAGGAATGCTAAATCAACAATTCTTTAGACTAATAGGAAGTATTATAGAGCAGTGCATCATGTGTACTAAAGAGAGTCAGATAGAGAAGAAGAGAGTAATATGAGTGGAGGAGCTATGGGGAGAGGTACATAGAGCAATATGAGCAGTTACTGGGAAAGGTTATTGGCGCAATATGAGGAGTTATAGGGAGAGGTAGACAGAGCAATATGAAGGTTTATATGGATAAATGGAGCAATATAATGCGTTGTATGGAGAGGTAAATGGAACATTATGAGGAAGTATAGGAACCAGTGGGATCCATAGAGTAGGTTACATAGTGCAGTAGGAATAGTTCAAGCAGCATACTCCTCTTACACTTTATTGCACACATTTAGCGCACACCCCACAGATGTTAATGCAAACACAATTAGTCACCTTTTCATTTAACATGTCTGGATGCTCTGTGAGCCAGACACACAGGCACTGGAATGCAGCTACAATCATGGAGTGCAGATCGCGGGAGTGATGTGGGGCTGGTCGTGAACACTGGTATACAATGTATGTACATACAGAACTCACAGCTCCCTTCCTGTCTGAGGAGTCTATAGCAACCTTTACCTGTGAAGGAGAGAAGGAATAGAGTAGAGCTTGCTGAAGTGAGTTAAACAAAACACAACTATACAATTTAGCCCCATGCCTGGCATGTCATTGGGCCCTAATGGATTAAATGAATACACTCAGACCAAAGAAGACAGAGTAAAAGTCAACCTTTATGCCGTCACTAGGTTTTACCTTTTCCTTAACTAACCAAAAAACTGCATTTTAGAAAGAGACTACAATCTGCTAGCAGGGAACTGACCAAATAGAGAAAACGACAGCAGCAGTTAATACCTACCCGAGTATTCTTAAATGTGTGTCCCTTGGATCGATACTAACACAACATCTTATAATTTCTGAGTCTCTGATATTGTTGGAGGACTTACGTGTATTTTACGAATTTATTTTATATCAGCCTTTTTACCACCAGTAAGCTCAAATATGTACTTTAACACTTTCAGATCTAAGGTGATTCACAGTGATAATCTCTTTGTTGTACATTTTAAAAGGTTCAATACAATTTGAATTGCACTTAAAAGCAAAAAACTATATATGACGAATGGGCCATCTATTCTATCATACGCTTAACTTGTTACATGAAAATAATCGATATTTTATAGTAGCCATTAAGTTTTTATAAGTGCTTCTAAATAAATACTACAACTGAATTTGCAAAGCCTTGATCAGCACTGAGTCGGCACTCACCTTGGCCAAACCGGACAGTAGTTCTAAGGCTGCTAATGAAATGCTCATGTCCGACCTCCACTGAGAGTTGAGCCTCTGGGTGACCAGATGAATACTGCGCTTGAGCAGACCGGCAGCTGTATCTGTATGAAGAGCTAGTATGTAACCGAAGAACGAATGCAAAGCAGGGGAGGGAAAACAACCAACCTCTTGTTAGTAATGGGAAGCGGACAATTCAGGCGCAGGACGCAGCCAGTGAGCACAGAAAAATACAAACCAGGGGCCTTCACCAATCCCTCTCCCTAGGATCACCATTAGTTGATACAGGTTGGTGTTAATCAAATAAAGTTAGAGGTAAATAAGACAAGTAAATTCACAGCAGGTTCACCTTGAAAGCACTGATTTTAAGTGCATATTTTGCAGGACTAACACCAACACAACATGAGAAGCACCCCCGGAATCTAATCTGTGATCAAAGGATCACACATTGGTTTTCTTCACACCAGTTACAAATCGCCTGCAGATCTCCAGCTCCCGCAAAGCTTACATCAGGTGGAGAGCTGTAAGTTGGCAATCACAGGCAAAAACCATGCAATGTGTGAAAAGTAGGATAGTATCTGGGGTACCAAATTCGCCATCACTGCCATATACCTATCAAATGAAAGGTGTAAAGGACCAATAATACAGAAATTATGTAAGTGCAAACTGTAAGGCTAGTAGCCTCTCAACTCAGGGTAATATGACTTCAGCTGTGTGTCTTCCATCTGTGCATTTCAACAAGTAAAACTATGCAATAAATCAGGGCTCAGAATTTCCGCTATCGATTGGAAAGTGAAAATTTAGCCCTGGCTAGTAAAAATTCACCCCTGGATGGTATACTATCGATAACAGTGGTGAATAACGTTTCAGGCCTGGCTAGTAGTATAGCACAACTAATTTTAGACCCTTAATATACAGGTATAATTAACCACCTCTAATGGCTTACTCACGGTTTAACAGAAATTCTCAATCCCTGGCCACCTGCAGCTCAACCCCTTTCACCATACCATTGATTTGAGCAGTGTTTGGCTGACAGCAATAAGCTTATGCTCTCAGTTTATCACTTCCAGCTACCCCTGGCATGGCATGAAGTGGCGCATAGAAGTAGATCCAACCCACCCCTTTTTCTTAAATGGAGGCAGTGAATCACTCCTATACGATGAACCAACAGTTACGGGATCCGACACCCACGGATTCCAAGAACTACATCTCCCAATTACTGTACGTAGAATCACAGAGTATAGTATTAACAAACTACTTTTGCATGCTTCTTACTAGATGTCTTTACACACTGTCATCACCTGCAAAAGACTGCTCCAGGTACCAAAACATTAACCAAAAAAAATAAATTCCTTTTTTGGAAATCTGCTGTGAATTACCTGAACTTTGTAATTAAGCATATACTATGAAAAATCATGCAACAAACATTTAATGGGATTTGAGATAAAATGGTATACAAAAAGATTACAAATGTGCATTCCTGGTATTTAACAGAGTCCTTGTGGATGTTAGTAATTAATTTGCACTTGAGAAGTACTGAGTGGATTGGTGTCATGAATATAGAATTAAAAGAATTACAATATTGTGTGGTTCGACTGATACCTGGATATCCTACGGGAAAAACAACAGCAAAGAGAGGAGTTATTGTTTTCCTATGAGACTCCTGGGATATGGTCTCTGCCGCACTAAACAAAATCTCAACCCACACGAATAAGCAATATTTTAAAATGAATTGTATCAGTTTAAAACAGAGGTATAATTATCAACAACTACAGATGCTGATAACTACAACTCTCTAGATGCTTCAAGAGGGATGTAATTTTAAACATCTGGAATGGCATGCATTGTCCATTCCAGGTTTAGAAGCTTCCGATTTTATGTTTTGTTACTCAAACAGGAAAATGTGCATAAAGGACATATGGGCAAAATAAAATACTAATAATATGAATAAATAATAAAATGTAAAAATGTAAACTATTTAAAAAAACAAAACAAAACAAAAAAAAAACACCTTTTTCACAGCATACTGTAAACGTGCATGTAATGGGTGACCATTACAGCAAAGAGGAATTCCAGGGAAGACATGTTAAAGTTTGTCCACACTAGCTTACAGAATAGCTTCTGCTTTATAAATAAGTAAAAAATAAAATAAAATAAAAAAGAGCATTTTGCATGATCTCACTGATCAAAGGTCTAGATTCATTATGTCGGGCTATTAAACTGCATAGCGTGTCATGAAAGGTATTTCCAAGAATGCTTAGATAATGGCATCAAACATACATGGCGCTAATCATTTTGCACAGGAGGATTCATGCATACTTTGTTAATGAAAAACAGGAAAGCTTCAAGGTTTCAGCATATCACGCGTCTCAAGGAGGAGTTCATGAACAGCCAAAGTGCAGATCTATATACTGCAAACGTCAGTCCGACTAGTTACTCTATATAATTTATATCCGCACATCTGCTCAGCATGCACATGCCCTAAGACAAGGTTGTTTATCCAATAGTTACAAGATTTGTGCATACACTTCATTCCTCAAAGAGTTAAAAACGATGTTGCCTACAGCACAGCCCAGGGGTGGTTTACTGGGTGTGAATGGTCAGCTATTTACAGGATAAAAGTATCAGAAGCCTGTTAACGCTTTAGTTTCTAGCAATGGAGTGTTATTTCTGATTTCTTTATCCTGATCTTGAAAAGGTAATCAGAACACACTTTGCTTAGGACATACAAGTAAATATGTATGCAATATATGCATGAAAATAGCTCCCAATTCAATATCACCTAATCTTACACTCGATTTGAAAAGACACAAAATATAAAAAGTATTTCTCTCTCTCTCTTTTTTTTTTTTTTAAACTTACAAAATTCTCAGAGAAGAGAGATTTACTCCTCATTGCTCAAAGTGAATTTTGTGATTTCCACACCCTTCTGGTTTTTGTTTGAATGACAAGTGATTAGAATAAAGCTTTGCGAATAGAGTTCTCTGACAAATTGCAGAGAATCTACTTCAGTCTTACCATAGTCCCTCATTAGTGCCTGTGCTGGTCTGTCACTGTCTGGTGTAGTGGGTTCAGTGCTGCCACCACTCGCTGTGCTTATTCCACTGTTGGTCCGACTGTGGCTTTTCAGCAAATTATTTTCTATCTGAAATGCATCCCCAAAAAACAAAATCCACCCAGAATTATTCATTTATATGTAATGTGCTTAGCATGCAGTTAATCACTCCTTTGAACATCTACAGAAAATACATATTGTGTATACATATTACATATTGTGTAGTTTGTGTAATTTAAAGATACTTTGCTCTGCGTTTATATTGATGCAGAGCTATGTAATATACACATCAAACACTTTAAGCTCCAAGAAAAAAAAAAATAATTTCAAAGTAAAAACAATAAATCAAAAAAATTAAATGGTTATGGAGAAAATGACACACTGGTTTCCCCATTATTCTAAGTAACCAGGGCAAACCAGACAAGTGCAGGGTATAAGGTGTTCATATATATTTAAGCACTAAGTCTATAAACGGAACTAGCTCAACAATCCGTCGTTGGATGTATTTGGCGGAGTTTAACATGTCTCTTCTGATTGGAGGATGGCACAATGTTATGAGCAGTAGGGTTGGGGGCCATCTCGCTCCAGGCTTGTATATTAAGGTAGCCCTTAAGGGAATGGCTTAGCTCGGGCCATGGGTTATGGTTCAACTAACACTCAATTCTATAGCACCAGGGGATCACAGAAAGGGGAACGAGCATTGCACAACTTGTGCAAAATGACCTTATACTCTAGAAATTTATACCCAATGCGGTACAATTTTCATCTGTGAAGATGAGACCAATCATGGGCCTCCAATCACTTTTCAGTTTATTTAGTTTCTGTGTAGTGGGAGAGAATATCTCATAACATTCTGCTAAATATCTTTTGTGCAAAAACAAAGGTTTGAGCATTGAAGATATACAGCATATTAATGAGAACAAAACCAATGAAATACACTAAATTTGTATTGATGTTCGGAGTGTCCTTTTATCATCACTTGTATATATTTTGAGAATTTTACTTAACATACTTACATCCTTTAAAAAAATGTTTTATATATATTGTGGTTGTTTTAAGACAGACACAATATACCCTCAAACACTCCCCCTGCTGGATGCCCTTGTCACAGGTGGGTTACTCCATCCTGTCTCATTCTGGGCATCTCAAGTCAGTTCTGACTGACTGGGTTTTATTGCAATTCATACTTAATCGCAAAATAGTAATTGCAGTGGTGGTCCATAAGGACTGGTTTCTAGAAGCAATGGACGTTAATTTCTTTAGGCACCCAGACCACTTCTTTTCATTGACTAGAGGAACTCCCTGTTTGTTAGGAGACTTTTAGTCAGCTTTGTATTGCTAGCACTATAGTATTACTTTAATTACAGTTCTAATTTGTAATATTTGAATATGTTCTATATCATAAGGTGTGGATAAAACATACAAGTAAATTCAACATGACACGTCTGACATCAGAAAGCAATATGCAAAAAAAAGGAAATTATACAAATCTGCTAAAAACTCTTACCATTTCAACCTGGTTGCCAGTTGCTTCCAAAAATGCAGAGTCTTGAACAATGTTCAGCATGGCCCCTAAAATGCAAAGCATATATTGAACAAAATTAAGGCTACAGATTACTCTCTGGTAAGGCTGTTGGAAGTACTGTAAACCTAACTTTAACAACAAAATAAATCCCTCAAAACTTTAGTATGCAATAGTCTGCTTCAAAGCAAAACGTCCTTTCTTCATCACAGAACAAAATGGCACGTAAGTCATTTCAGAAAAAAAAAAAAAAAAAAAGTTGAGCTCCAATCTCTCTCAAGAATACATGAGCTATCACTCCCTATATAACTCACTATTCTCAAATGTCAAATCATACGATAGGATATATTTATATACTTGCATATAAAGAGTAGATTGGATTAGCCGTATTAGTCCAGTAGACAAGATGCCAAAATACCAGACTATTGAAGTATACAATTATACATCTTTTTATTGAACATAATATTTCAAAGACAAGCTTTTGAGAGTTTTCCTCTCTTCCTCAGTTCTGAAGCAATACTGATCAATCTGATCGAGTTTATTATTTAAAACAACTGATGTAAGAGAAGGTGAGGGGGTGGGGGTGAGTGGAATGTCATAAATAGCAGAAGATGGGCTTAAAAGTGAAAGGTGCAGGTTGGCAGAGAATAGCCAGAAAAAGAAAAAAACAGCATAGCAGGGCATGCAAGTATATAGCTGCATATATGTATGTATATAAATTGATCCAATAAAAGGTGAAACAAGAATTTTGAAAAAGAACTAGATCAGACATTAAGATGTGTGTTTATAAAAAAGTTTTGGTAGTGTGTGAGAAAGCCAGAGTCTACATTAAGTCCTTTATTTCTTTTTTTTTTTGCATTTTTTGAATTTTTTCGTTTGCAGTGCATAAAATTTATACAGGCAGGCCCGGGGTGCCCCAAAGGCAGTCCCCAAGCTTTCCTGGCTTAACATGCAGGACAGGTGGACAGTATGCACAATTTTATATTATAAACAGGCTTAACTATAGTCATGTAAAGTGGCACTTATAAGACAGTGACATGAAAGCTTTGCATAATAGTATTTCAAAAGCAGGCTTAAACATCCATTGTGTCACAGAGAGAAGAGATTAAGTTACAGAAATAGATAAACATGTGTGTGTGTAGGTTTGAGTAGGTAAGTGTGTAACATGGCTATCTGTGATAAGTGATCAATGGTAAATGGTAAATGTACTTCTGTGGTATTGTGTGAGAGATGGAGATAGCAGAGACAGTCACAAATATAGTCATGTGAAAAATCCAGGTATGCAGAGTCAGTGTTCATGAGTGTCTGGGCAGCGTTCATTAGTGAGCGTGGGGGGAGCCACCCGCTTGCTGGATAGTCACCCCAATTCCTTCAGGAGGGAATCGTGTCTGCAGCATTGGGGCTTCATGTTGGTAGGCGGTCGGCCGGGAGTTAACACGATGCGCCCTCCAGCTGCGGGCATGTAGCGTGGCCGGCATCTTGTAGCCACGGATTCGGGTACCTCTGGGGGCCAGATCCTTCCCTGTCAGGACTGGTCTGGAGGCCTTTATGTTGGTGTTGCGCCGCCTTTGGCGGGTCGGTCTCCGCCTGTGTGGTTGATGTGCCGGGTTTGTTACCCTGGTGGCCTGCGGCCCAGATGGGCTAGCGTGGTGAGGTGTAGGCTGCTTTATCAAGGCTTTGCCCAAGGGTAGCCCAGGCCCACTCCGGTCGACACCGCCATGTTTGTCCCCCTTACTCCAGTTTTCTTGCCTCTGTTGCTGCTCCACCGCTTGTCTGGCCTTAATTCGTGCCCAGAAGGTTTGGAAAAGCTCATTCAGGCGGGTAGTGAATGAGTCGCTTGTTTTGGGGTTGTGTTTTGGCGGCTCTTCTCCTCCACATGATTGCACGTCCGCCATATTGGCGTGGCGGGCTGCCTGCATACTTGTTGCCTGGTAAGTGCTGGTGTCTGCGCTTAATGGCCACAGAGGTGTACCGTTCGAGGATGTTTGGATAGGGATAACCCCCACCGGTCCTGGGGTGGGGGGAGGCAGCCGTGTGCTACGGGCGTTGCATGTGTTTGTGAGCTGGGAGAGCGGCTGTCCCTCACCTGCTCTGCTTGGCATAGGCCCCAGCTCGGTCATTCCGGCGGGTATACTGGGCGTCTGAGGTATCCCCCGGTTCGTCAGTTGCTACGGAGCAGATTAAGGTGTGTTGGAGTTCAAGATTGGGTAAGTTGCCCCCGATTTCGTCTGATATTCAGACCCGAGCCCGGGAGCTCAAAGCATGTGCGACTGTTCAGCTCCACAGCCCGCCCACTCCCCCCCTAAGTCCTTTATTTCTGATGTTGAAATGTGTGATCGTTTTAATCTTAAATGTCTTTCTTTCATGGGAGTCTTTAATCCTGAGGTTTTGGATGGAGTGACCAGTCTGAGTGAAGTGATGGCCAACAGGGGTACAATATTCGTTTCCTTGTGGTTCTTGATTGAGTGTCTGTGTAGATTCATTCTGAGATGCAGCTTAAGGCCAGTTTCTTCAATGTAGCAACCTTTGTCACACACTGTACACTGTATCATGTACACCACATTTGCAGATGTGCACGAATATGATCCCTTAATGTTGTATGATTTGCTATTGTGTCTGGCTGTGCTATTGCCACATATATGTTGACACAGTTTGCAGAGTGATTTGTTGCATCGTACAGGGCCATTTTGTGTGAGCTCCTGTTCTGTGGTCAATTTGTTGTGGACCAATCTCAGTCTCAGGTTAGGTGGTTGTTTGAATGCAAGTACGGGGGGGGTTCAGGAAATATTTTTTTGGAGTGTAGGGTTCTCTGAAACTAATGGTTGCAGCCCTTTAATAATTTTACGATTATATAATTATATAAAAAGTAAAAAAAAAAAAAAAAAAAATACATCCATAATTAGCCAGACTTTTGTAATATATTGAAAAAAACTGAAATATTTATTCATAGAAAAAAAATGTAACGCTAACCCTAAGTTTGTTTTATTTTTAAGCAATAGGTTGTAATAGCTTTAAAGGAACACTATAGTGTTTGGAATACAAACATGTACTCTTAACACTATAGTGCTGGACTACCTATTTAGGAGATTCCTCATTTAGGCGAGTGGATTAAAAAAGGCAGTTACTTACCTTTTCTTGATTACCGTGCTGGTCTCGCCGATGCTGTCCAAGCTTTCGTGGCTGACATAATCAATCTAGATTTCAGCCAATCCAATGCTTTCCCACAGGAAAGCACTGGAAGGGTAATGTGCAACAAAATGTCAATGCATCTCTATGGGAAGCGTTCAGCATATCAACACTCTCCATGGAGATGCTGAAGGCCAGTGCTGCACAAATGTGTATTCCTGACCCTATAGTGGTGGTTAAAAAAATAAATAAAAAAAATACGTTAGGTGGCTGGCCCCCCTGACGTATGAAACTTATCTTTGTTCCAGCACCAAGTTGTGCAGCACCTGTAGTGGCCACCTGAATAACTGCCACTGGATGTATCCCTAGGCAGCAATGTAAACCCTGCCTTTTCTATTAAAAAGCAGTCTTTACTGCCTGTCCCTGCAGGTATTGTAATGTAGATACCAGAACAACTATATTAAGCTGTAGTTATTCTGATGACTAGAGTGTCTCTTTTAACTATTTAGTATAGGATGAATTGTAGAAGACAGATGTGCTAATTATTGTCCAGTAGTGGTCCTTCATGTACTACTCACACAACTGGCAAAGGTTTCAAAAGCAGTACTCCCTTTAGCCAGTTTCTAGGCTGTGCACAGTTATTTAGTTGTAAATGTGACTTTTTGATAAGGAGATCTAAATACAATTTCTAGACCACCTGTGTGTCAGACCCCACCTGAAAGGAAAAGTAACTGGTGAGTATTGTACCTAGAATCATTTGAGTGTTGTTGGGATCAGTCTCTGTCTGTAGCGCTCCTATAAGAATATTGACCAGTCTCAACTTCAGGGAAAGAAAGGTCACTGGTTTATCACTGACCATGCTATCATCGTTGCTAAACTTTCCCTCCAGCAGCACCTTTAAAATAAGAGTAACACATTAATGTATACAGATCCAACTTTAAAGTTGTATTTTTTCCCTTCATTAGCCCTTTTACAGTGGAAACATTATACATTTATATAATGCAAAGTAGTAACTGGTTGATCCATTCATTGTAAAAACATGCATAAGTGACTCTCAGATTTAGGTCTGTGGCCCACCACCCATCCTTTAGAGGTCAAAGATGGACTCCTGGTTTATTCAAAGAGATATCATAGTGTGTTAAATAGTGTGTGAATGGGTGAGCTGGAGAATGGACATGTAAAATGCAATTCTGTAAACTTTACTGGAAATCAAGCTATCATTCTGTCATTTATCCCTTCCTCGAAGAATAATATGGAAGGAAAATGTATGTTCTGATATTCCACTAAAACTTCTGTGTCACTGGTCTAGTATGCAGAGCTGGATTGAAACATTAGAAACACAATAAGAAGAATTTTACTATGCAAAGCAATTGAATGTTCCAGACGAATGCGCCATTTTTACCACTACTGCTCAAAGTTGCTCTATACGGTTTATATAGTGTAAAAAAAGCGGGCAAATATCCATCGTAAGCAAAAACATTAAACATGAGTATTCACTGCAGGTAACACATCTAGGAATTACGGTGATGTTATTCATAAAATACTTTAGAAGATTTTACACGCAAGGGAGAAGCGAAAAAAATAAAAATAGCATAATTAAGTAGTACGAGGGACTGAAAAGACAAGTCCATCAAGTTCAGGCCCTCACATATGCATTTAAGACTTGCTAAAATGATCTTCCAATACTTCCTAAGCCTTAATTTTCATAAAAACATAGCCCAATGTTTTTGTATCAATAGCCTAGATTCCACTAAACCGTATACTTCTTCAGAATAAAATCATGTTTAAAACATTTAGTGTGTGTTTGTTATAGTATGGGTTCAGATATGTCCATAGGCCAGAATGTCATGATATCAACGTACAATGACTAAGATTTGGCACTGCCACCCACACTCAACCCCCAAAAACTAAAATAAAAAAAAATCCAAAAAGTATTGGAGAAAGTGTGAAAGAGAATCTCAGAGAGAAACAAAAAGAAAATATACAGAAAAGAAGAGTCAGTGATGATTACCTCAGACTTAACAGTTCCAAAGTGGTGTGGTAGAGGTAACAGTGATACCAAGATGTGTATACTAGATCTCCTCAGTTCTGTCGCATTTACATACGATTTAAACCTTGAAAGTTCCCTGTAAAAAAAAAAAAAAAAGGCAAAATTCTAAGTTTTGAGACTATGTTTGTTAAATATTTCAAAAAGAATTGTTCAAAATTATACAGTCAATGGAAAATTCAGGTTTGTGCTACGAAACTCAAGGTCGATTGTTTGAGCAGCAACTGGAGTGCGGAAACACAGGAATACAGGCTTATTTAACATTTCTATACACTTTCCTGTATAAAAGGTGAGTAAATTAGCTCAAAATGTATATTACAGATACAACATCATCTTATTTCAGTGGTTATAGTATCTGAAATCTCATTGGTGCCATCCTATTTAGCCTTAAACTATTTCTAATGTTTTAAGAGAGTAGAAAATCCCCTCTGTGCTGCTTGGGCTAATAAGGAAGCATTAGCCTAAGCTGCAGTGGGAAGCTGTGAATGTTCAAGAGTGTCAGCTGACCACTTTCAGCCTATCACAGCATCCATTTCTGGTATAAATTGGTATGGCCAGAAGGAAGTGTGTCATCTCCTCCTTTAGCCATACCTCCAGTAGGGACTGAGCTATGGGCAATCAGGGTCTCCATATTCAATGTTAAACTGCTTGAAAATTGTTGAATACTGAATGGAAACTCCGGGCACTATATCCAATTCAATTAAATTTAATTAACTCAGACCATGCTATTTTTAAGAGCAGTAACTATTTTCTGAACTCTCCAAAGAAACTTAAGTCCATCGCATACTCCCTTTTTTATAAAGGTTTTCACATATAAAAGTTTACAAATGCGATACAAGAGGTAGTGTTACATCTCATAACATCAGCAGAAAATAGGCTGAGTTAGCATGCACACTCACCTTTGTAGAGTGGATAAAGATTACATTTGAAATATTTGTGTTTTACAGAAAGAACTTAAAGCATCGTGTACGATAATTGAGTGCAACCACTAGTAGAGGTTTGAGGCACTTGAGTGATACATTAGGTGGGTTTGACACACTCAGCTCGAACATATTACCTTTTGTTCTGGATTTCCATTCTATAGTATTAGGAAGAGATTATCTCTTACAATAGCAAATTGCCATTATTGCACATTCATCCCTAGCAGATTTTACCTGTCTGGCAAAATAGTTTCAAGTGCAGAAATGAAGTAAGGAACCACCACATTAATACCCTTGAGATCACAGCAGAAGAGAGGAGGGGAGTTCAGGATGATGCTTGCAAGTACAGGATGGCAGATAGAGTCTCCTATTTGCAGCCCCTGGACCAAAACCATGTAAAACCTAAAAAGAGGAAACATATTAAGAAAATATGATACAAGATAAAGCATAATGGGGTGGTTTATAGTAATGTATGAAAACATTATGTTTTCAGAAGATCATTACTTCTGCAAAAAGTGTTGCGTTCAAATCAAAATAAGGACAGGAACTGCTACATAGTGAACTCTCTACATGCCTTCTCGAGAAAATAACTAGCCCCCAATGTTTCTTTATACTGTAAGTGAAAACATATACTTAAGTATGATTCTCAAAACTTGCAAGTATTTTTCTTTCCCCCCTACCCCACCAATAATAATTAAAATAAAAAAAATTCTGCCCATTTAATTCACTGACAACACTATTACATTCACTATTTATTCGAAGAGTATGCTAAAATGACAGTGTTGGACTGTAAACAGTTTATTGAAGTTTTTTTTTGTTTTTTTTACTTGAATACAGGAGACAAGATTACCCCAACTCATTATCCAGGCTACCTGCTTGTCCTAGAATGTAAATAACTCACCTGTCAAATTCATGTTAATCAACTCAGCCATTCAAAGGAAATATTGACCAAAAGTATTGGCCTTGAAAGGATACCTGGAAAGGTAAGCAGACAATATCTCCTCCCCAGTCTTCTTGCTGCAGAATATTCTACACAAAGTGCCGCAGGCCTCGGCCCGTCCTGCCTCGTAATTTTCTGGGAATTCATTAGCATCAAACATGGTGCTTGAGCCCATTGTATCTGTGGACAACTGGGATCCCTTCCGACGAAATTCCACTGTGGCCTGTGTGGCTATTGCTGCAATAAAGAAAGGTACGTTATTTAATTGGTCAACACAGGCAAGGCAGAGTGCAGGGGCTCATGGGAAACAAGTGCACAAAGATTTATAGTGGAATTAAATGAATTTGTAGCATTACATAGGGCTGAGGCTACGCCAGTAAGTTTTCATGATCATACAAACGGGTTGCCCCAAGTCCTATTATCACCAAAAGGTTTCAAAAGACTCAATAGAAGGTCTAAGGTCCGTGATGGGTAAACTTGGCACTGTAGAGAACTGAACTAAACCATCCTTGATGGCCAGCCAGATATTATAAAATAAGTTTTAAATCACACAAAACGAGCAAGTCAGACGTTTATGGTTCACAAATTTGAATATACAAATCTTGAGTGTCACGTTATTTTCATTTCTACAGCGCCAACATATTCCGCAGAACTTTACAATATTATAAAGGGGGAAATTGAACAATACATGAGACTTTTACAAAATGTTACAGGAACAATAGGATGATGAGAACTTTCAATCTAGACTTAAGATGAAGGAAATTTGGACACAATATAACTGGTTGGACCACACTATCCCAGGTCTCAAAACCAACAATGTTCCATTCAATGTTTGTATTGGTGCAATAATTCCTAGATCTCTTGGTTTGACAGTTTATGCATCCTCTTTTTAAAAAAATGAAAATAAAATATTTTCTCCCCATAAAGGACATAAGATTAGGATATATTACTGTTCCCAATTCCCAATTGTGTCTCAACTAAACTGTAAAAAAAAAAAAAAGAATAAAAAAAATAAAAATAAAAAAAGGGTAGGTCGTTATTTTAGCTATTTGGTCTTGAAACTAAAACTCCTTGACAATTCACAGGGTATTACAGAAAAACAAGAAGGCATATAAAGGGTTATTCCGGAGTCACCAGCCCAGAACAAACTCCACTATGAAAAAAAAATATTTAAATGGCCTGGGCACCGTGTTCAGTCAGTCATTTTCTTGTTGGACTGAAAAACAAAACTAAAGTATATATTTTTTTTTTCTTTTACCAATATGCCTTTATAAAGTACATTTAACTGCACTGAAAACGTTTCAGTTTCAAATAGTATTAAAGGACCACTATAGTGCCAGGAAAACATACTCGTTTTCCTGGCTTTATAGGGTCTCTAGGGCCCCCCTCCCACTGGGCTATGAGGGGTTAAATTTACCTCTTTTTCCAGCGCCGGGCAGAGGACTCTCCTCCTCCTCCTCCTTGTCGTCAACGGCTGAATGCGCATGCGCGGCATGAGCCCTGCACGCGCATTCAGCCAGTCCATAGGAAAGCATTCTCAATGATTTCCTATGAATGCTGGCGTCTTCTCACTGTGAAAATCACAGTGAGAAGCGCCTCTAGCGGATGTCAAGGAGACAACCACTAGAGGCTGGATTAACCCTAAAGTAAACATAGCAGTTTCAGTTTATAGAAAAAAGGGTTAATCCTAGCTGGACCTGGCACCCAGACCACTTCATTATGCTGAAGTGGTCTGGGTGCCTATAGTGGTCCTTTAATTCATAGTGTCGTTTCCCCTATTACAATATTACAGCATAAGCTCCCAAACCACTTTAATTAAGGAGGTGGTTTTAAACATAATTCATGCTTTTGTAGTCTCACGCAACATAGAACATATTAAAATTAGAAGAAGAAAAAAAAAAGACTGAAAAGCACAAAAGCAATGGGAGGAGCCAATTTTTATGACGGCAAAAGCAATTAGGACTGGAAGCAGGCTAACAGTCAAACTATGAGCCATGGTCAAGGGCATAGAAAACAAAGCAAGCCAAGGTCAGGAACATTATAAACACACACTTACTTGAAAAGTTAGTGGTCACTGTAAGCATGGAGGGTTCATGGGACACTCACAGCAGTTAAATTCTACTCGACAAGGACTATAGCTAATGGAAATATAATACACATGTGCACCCATACTCTGGTAATATTTTAAAAAGCTATGCTTAAAAAGGTTTTATTGCCAACGGTATCTACAGAAATCTACGTCTGTGCTCCTTTGCATGTCAAGTTTGGAACTCTGGGATAGATGTGGAAACGTGATTTCTTGAGTTTGAAACCATAGGGAACTTTCCAAAGTGCACAAACAAAAGAGCTTGCATGGCTACTGTGGGAACATGGCGGATGGTGAGTGAGGAATCTGAAGGTACATGAGAGCACCATGCATGCAGTACACACCTGACGATTACAACCATTCAAATAAATGGTTTGAAGCATGGAATACATTGCATGTTGTATACAGTGAACTCTTCTTAGACGGACAAAGTGAGAGAAAGTGAGGAATGGCAACCAAAAAAAAACAAACAAAAAAAAAAAACCACGAAACAAGTAACATTTATTGAAAGACTATCTTTAAACGATTAAGAAATAATTTTTTTTTGCTTGTATTCATCATAACAGAGCACTAGATAGTAAGTATAGAAAGCCTCACCTATAAATCTAGCTCCTTAAAGGACCACTATAGTGCCAGGAAAACACACTTGTTTTCCTGGCACTATAGTGCCGGGACCACCTCCCGCCCGGCTCGGGAAGGGGGAAAGGGGTAAAAACTTACCTTTTTCCAGCGCTGTGCGGGGAGCTCTCCTCCTCCGATCCTCCCCGTCGGCTGGCTGCGCGCGCATTCAGCCAGTCGCATAGGAAAGCATCATCAATGCTTTCCTATTGACGCTTGCGTGTTTTCACGGTGAGAATCACGCAAGCGCCTCTAGCGGCTGTCAATGAGACAGCCGCTAGAGGCTTTGGGGGAAGGCTTAACCCATTCATAAACATAGCAGTTTCTCTGAAACTGCTATGTTTATAAAAGAATGGGTTAACCCTAGAAGGACCTGGCACCCAGACCACTTCATTAAGCTGAAGTGGCCTGGGTGCCTAGAGTGGTCCTTTAACTTGGTAAGCAAATGAATATACTTTGTACAAGTTATGTGAACAGTTTTCATAATTTTTATATACAAATGATCACGAATAAATGTATCTGTATACAAATATTAATAGCAAAATAATAAAATAAAAATATGTCAATATGAAAAAAAGAAAAATGCAATCTAATCAAGGCCCAAAACAAAATATTTGTATTTAACTTCTTTTTTTTTTTTAAATCAAATATATTACTACATTTATTTAAAAATGTGCAGTTATGTGTTTTCTTCCTACAAATTAATTGTGTTTTAAAAACAAACTTCCAAGAAACCACAGGGTAAAATGTAGGCTGTGTAACACAGCCTTGCATATAAACTTTGTTCTAGATATTTACCTGTAGAATGATATAAACTATCAAACCATTTTGTGTTACTTGCTTCCATTTTATATAATAACTATTTAGATCAGCTTGTAACAGATGAAGGTACATTCTATTGTTAATGAAATGAATGCCAAACCTGGACTTCTGTGCCCAAGGTGTGATCTCGGACAAAAAGTATAACTCATGACAATGAAGTCATACCTGGATGCTTGATGTCCAAAATGTAATAAGTATGTAATATTGTTTAAAGGGGAATAAAACTAATCCAGAGATTATGCTATGGTAGGAATCACATTGATTTGTCTGTGTCCAATTAATCCTTTGCATTTTTCAATTATTACACAGAATGGATCAATTAAAATGCAAATATTATATTAAATTACAATAAGAACATTGTTATCTGGTTCAAGTCTATTTCCAGTAAGACAATGGAGGAGAATGTGGCCTGAAAGCAGGCAATGAAACTTGTTTTCTCAAGCCAGTCAAAATGAGGTAGGGGTATATATATGAAAAAATGTCCTGCCACTCAGCCTTTCTCAAGCCATCACAGATAGCGACAGAAACATTGCCTGTGTGATATGTTCCATTAAAAAGCGCTCAGAAAGCTTAGAACTCCAAATGCATGAACATATTTTCATTTACATACTGTAAAAAAAGTGAAGCCAAGACCATCCTTTGGTCTGGAGCATTGCACTCTTCGCGGTTATGTTGGCATTATTGTGATTGGAGATGATGCCGATGAATGGAGAGCAATTCCCTATATTGGATATTAATAAGGGGTTAGGGGGACAGATTTAGGTTCTTTCAGATTCTGCCATGAAACGGTAACGAAGACCAAAGCTACTTTAAGTATCCAAAGTACATGGACACGTTACAGATGAACAGAGACTGGTAATCCACACCCTGTTCGGCCCTTGCAATTCAGCGCAAGAACCTGCTGAAATTTTAAGAGATGTGAAATGTTTACGATATGTGCTACATATAGAAACCGAACAAGAGCAGTAAAAAAGAAAAAAAAAAGAAAAGAAAAAAAAACCAAACAAAAAAAAAACTTAATTGTATTACTGGTTAAACCTAAACATACAAATAGATAGACCGTATCTTTGCCAAATCAAGGGTTACTCCAGGCATCATAACCATTAGCATCCATTGTAGTGGATATGATGCCATAATTACCCTGGCACTGTTCACCGGTAAGTGAGTAAACCATTTTCAATGGTCTTCTGCTTAACAGAGTCCCACTGGGCACTGGACCACAATGAATGGTATCTGAGGGACTTCCAGCTTCTGTAGCCATTGAGCATCTATGCATAGAATATGTACAGAAATATCGTTAGCAAGCTTAGAACTCTTGCTAATAATAGAAGTTGCAGGAAGTAGAGTTACATCTCTTGTAGCTAGCTGCAATATCTCAGTAGGATACATTGCACATACAGTGTCCTTACGCCATGACCACTTTAAAACACTAGAGTGGTCATGTTGGAGTTTAACACTCCAACAGTATCAAGCACACACTCACTCTTAACGTTTTCTTTCAACACAATCAGATAAATCAAAAATAAGTGAACAGCAATTTTAAAGGACCACTATAGGTACCCAGACCACTTCAGCTTAATGAAGTGGTCTGGGTGCCAGGTCCAGCTAGGGTAACCCTTTTTTCTATAAACATAGCAGTTTCAGAGAAACTGCTATGTTTCTATTAGGGTTAATCCAGCCTCTAGTGGCTGTCTCATTGACAGCTGCTAGAGGCGCTTGCGCGCTTCTCACTGTGATTTTCACAGTGAGAAGACGCCATCGTCCATAGGAAAGCATTGTGAATGCTTTCCTATGAGACTGGCTGAATCTGCGGGCGCGGCTCTTGCCACGTATGCGCATTCAGAGGACGAGGAGAGTCCCCCACCCGGCGCTGGAGAAAGAGAGCCCGGTGGGAGGGGGACCCTGAGGGTGGTGGACACCCTCAGGGCATCATAGTGGTCCTTTAACCATTTACCCAACAACACTAGTGAACCATTTGTTAAATTTTATTTGGCAGCTAAGATAATTTTTTCAATTGAACATTGAGTACTATAAGGCAGAGTATGGATATTAAACAAAATCTTTATGCATTTTCCCCCATGAGCCACTTCAACTTTAAGTATACCAGAAATAAGCTACATTTAATGAAATGTCTACTAAACAAAAAAAAAAAAAAACACATGCACAAATACCAAACATTACATCCATTTAGAACAAAACATACAAAAAATAAAATCAAAATTTTTTAACAAAAGTGAAAGTAAAACATGTTTAGTGCAAAAATCCTGAAATTCATGACATGACATAAATGGGGAAGATTGAAAACAGATTAATTTGACTGTGCCAACAATCGTTCCCATTCAGGCTGAAGAAATGAACCGTTTCCTCCCCACACTCAAAAAGCAGTAACAGAAAAGGATTTCTTTAAATAAATATATTCAAAGTATAAGAAAATAAAACCATAAAAGGAAAGCAACAAGACAACAGATGTTAGGAAGAAACCGAAAAAAAATGCGAGCGGTTATGAAGAAATGGAAAAGAAATAGTAAAAATGATGGCAATTGAGGAGAAGCTACCGATTCCTACTTACAAGATTTATAAGAAAGAAGAATTTGGATAAAAGATGCTGCAAGAACAGAAATAAAATGGAAAGAAATCAAAGGACAGAAATAGTTACAAGAAAAGTACTTTAAATATGGTGAGAAATTCACATAAAAAAGGAAGGATTGTTTCTAATTTTGGTTTTAAATAAAGAAAAAAAAAAAGGAAAAGAAAATATATATGAAAAGGGTTGTGTAACAGCAAATAGTGAGTTTAGACGACATTGTGCACCACAGTGGGTAAGGAATTACTGAATGGATGAGAATGATTTTTATTTACAGGGCTTCATTGATGTAATGAAATGCATTGAACCTTTCCCAGCTTTATCCACAAGTTAATCTCACTATGCTGAAAACTGCACACACAAATCTTTTCAAAATTGTCAATTTTACAATCTTTGTCTTTTGTTAAGAGAACAGTGAAAGTGATTTAAGTTCCAAAAGTAGGCTCCCCACCCCCCCACCCTCTTTAAAATAATTTGCTTACTATAGTTTTCTGAAATTAACAATATTTCCAAACTGCATTACTGATTTACATTGTGTCAAGTTAAGCTTTCCTTACTTTTATTTTTTAACTTTCTCTTTGAATAAGAATGCTTAATTATAATGTTACATCTAATTTGCTTTTTTTTCTCCCACAATTTTGTTTCTAAACAGAGAGTGCTGGCCTGGTAGAGACTAAGGAGGAGGATGGACCTACAGTCAAACAACATACAGGCGAGGACCAGTGTGTGCTCAGTGTCATCTCACTTTATACATTAATATATTGACTGAGCACACTGGGGTGGTTGAATTATTTTTTTTCCCTAGGTGTTATGTCAAAGGCAAATGCTGCCAATCTGGTCAGCATTTCTAACTTTAGCTTTAAAGGGACACTCAAACCACCAAAAGAACTTCAGCTTAATGAAGCAGTTTTGGTGTATAGATCATACCAATGCAGTCTTTCTGCTCAAGTGCTTGCCATTTAGGAGTTAAATACTTTGTTTAGCCACCCCTTGCAGTAAAACACACAGGCACCATGAAAAAATAAATAAATGAAAATATAGTTTTCATTTTAATTCAAGATCTTACAGCACAATGTGTTTCCTTTACAATTTCTTATCTCCAGCCCTGTTAGTTAAACTTGAATAATAAACAGGTGGCTCCTACAGCTATTAATAAAGAGGGAAATAAATTCTAAACTAATTTTTTTTTAAACTTTTTCAGGAAGTGTGTAGAGAGTCCGGGAAAGGTTGTTCTACTTACCTGAACCTGTCCCTTCCAGGCGCCGCCTTCTTCCGGCGATTCTTCTTCAGCTCCTGGCACGTCAGCACCAGGAACAGACGTCACTGCTGTATTCTCTCTCACATGCACAAGAATGCAGCATTGAGGTCTATGGAGGATCCCAGGAGATCCTCCATAAACAGAGACAATTCCCTGCAGCAGCCGTCTGACCCAATAACTGTCAAACATTCAAACACCGTCTAACCCAATAACTGTCAAATATTCAAACACTGTCTGGCCCAATAACTGTCATATTCAAAAACTGTCATATTCAAACACTGTCTGACCCAATAACTGTCATATTCAAACACTGTCTGACCTTTTAACTGTCATTTTTGTTTTCCTCTGAGCAGGAGTTGCTGCATGAATACTGTTGCTTTGTGTGCTCATTAAACAGACCTGCTTGACCCTTTCTTGAAGCCTTGGCTCATGCTTGGGGGATGGGATAACTACACTCTGGGGATTGCTATAATCACACTATACTCCCCAGGGTAAGCTCTTGTAAGAGTTTTTAGTGCTCTCTGGAGGAAGAGAGGACTGGAAGCTGGATCCTGGCCTTGGGTCCATGGTGGGTGAAGGACGGTGAGACCCAGGCGCAGCTGCATCGCTGGAAGTGGGGTCTGCAGTGCTGATGGTGTCGGAGTGCTTGGAGTCCTCGGCAAGCACTAGGAGCATCGATTGGCGGAGGTACTCGTTCGGATTATCCCAGCTGACCGTTACAACCACCATTAAGCCCCCCCTGCCTCCCTAAATATAGCTAAATCTTACTTGTATTCAAGCCTGAAGCTGTAACTCTGCATGCTGTTTGCCTCAGAAAAACTGCTGACATCATCAGAAGTGGTGGCCTGATCCAATCACAATGCTTCCCCCTTAGGATTGGCTGAGACTAGATCAGGGGCAGAGCCAGCACAAGTCAAAAACAGCCCTGGCCAATCAGCATCTGCTCATAGAGCTGAATTGAATCAACGAATCTCTAAGAGGAAAGTTCAGTGTCTGCATGCAGAGGGAGGAGACACTGAATGTTTCGATGCATTTTAGGCAGCCATGACCCAAGAAGGATCTCTAACAGCCATCTGAGGAGTGGCCAGTGAAGTTATCACTAGGCTGTAATGTAAACACTGCATTTTATCTGAAAAGACAGTGCTTACAGCAAAAAGCCTGAAGGTAATGATTCTACTCACCAGAACAAATTCAATAAGCTGTAGTTGTTCTAGTGACTATAGTGTCCCTTTAATTTGCAGGAAGGAGGCCCAGGAGACATGAAAACTCCAGTGTTATAAATAAGTGTATTAAATGTATTCCTTTAATACTTGGAAGAAAAAAAAAATGTATTTGTTATCTCTGCTGCGGAGCTGCACTTTCATTGATTCAATGTTTGTCCTGGAATAGCCTATCATTCCATTTAAGTGTATTTCTAGCTGCAAATTAATTGTAACATGGACTGGCGCAAGGATGAATGGAGCCCAGTGGAAGGTGCTAGTGCTAAGCAACTGCATTCAAATCCATGTTGATTGGGAGCATTAATGGGCCTTTAGTGGTATGTCATGACTTTACTACTTCTGTGCCCCATGGCTTCATTTGGTAAGAGCCATGACATTTTAAAATAGGGGTCTATCACAAGGGTTCACAGATCTGTCAAATGCACAGCATTATGTCAGATGCATCAATTGTGCCATGCTCAAGATGGTAAAATGTGGCAGTGGACACTCCACTCAACATTGTGCTCAAGACAGTCTTGTCCATAAAAAAAAAAAATATTATAATTTTGTTATTATATCTCCAGATTGTGTCAGAAATTTAATAAAATATCAACATAATCTTTGAGTTGTTCCATCAAGATTGTGGTTTTCTGTTGCAGAAAAAGCACTGGCATGATTGTGCTTTATTGTAACATCAATTTAAGGCATGACCTATAGAGAAGCTAGAGATTTTTTTTATCTGTAAGTAGACTTTTCATCCACACATTTCATGGATATGGGGGCAAGCATATCTAACTGCGCCATAGCACAGAAATAACAGATTTACAATGGTTAGAGAACTACAACTGCCAAAAACCTTTGCAATTTAACAAGAATACTTTCACTTATAAAATGCTCTGTGGATGTAGCTGAGAAGGATTAAACAATGGCCATTTCATTAATGTGGTTAAAAACAGATGAATTAAGTTATGTACATCCTCAGAAGATCCCTCCCAACCTGCCCATTCATTCACAATTTTAATCTTGCAGGTAGGAAATATTGATTTTCAGAGATGATAAAAGGAATCCACTTTGAATGTACAGGTACGTACCAGTCATGCTGCTGTCCCGGTTAACTCCATTTTGCAGTTTACAATGAACCAAAGCAGCATCAAATAGCCAGGAACCAAACAGGTTCAAAATACTATTAACTTTGGGCCTTGTAGGGGCTGGTAGAGGACGGGGCTCAGAGCTGGTTTGGTTTGGGCTGGACAGAGGAGAGGTGGAAGTTGTCTGTTGTTGGACTCTTGTGCTGTGTGTAGTGCTAGCCTGAAAAAGAAGAACAAAGAACAGATATTTCAGTAGGTAATTTGGTATTGGCAATACAGTTAATATTGTAGGATGTACAGTCATTTTTCTGTTCGAATAAAGAGCTGGGGTTGGGGCTTGGCTCCAAAAAAAACAATACTTGATTGAAAATGTCAAGACAGGGAATTGTCTAACTCTTTAGATAATATTGTATTTAAGCAGCTGTTTATTCCCCCCACCCCCATTATAAAAATATACTAATACGCTTTGACATTGTATTGGCTATATTGATTGCTAATAAAAAATAAAACAAAAAGCACACATTTATAAAACATATGGAATATGCTTCGAAAACACTAAATCCATAAATGAAAAATGAACTTCGATATAAATATAAAGTTGGATAAATTACAAGACAAGACATAGGTTTTCAAACCTGTGTTTGTGGCCAATAAATTCTACTGATATAAAACAAATCCTTTTAATATCTACAGACTGGACAAATATGCTTGTGGTTACAAACATGCATTACAAGATACTGACTCCACTATTTTAATCTGCTTTACTGGACTAAAAAAAAAAAGCAGTGAGGTGAAAGAATTACCCCTTTAAATAAATATTTAGACTAGGCAAATGACTGTGGTATGCCTTTAAAATTAAAAAACACATTTTAGACATTTTATTAATTCTTGAGATACACCTCAAGCACAAGACAGTTTAAAAAAAAAAATATATATATATATATATATATATAGTGTTCAAGTAGAGATTGTAGCCGTATTAGTCCAGTGATGTAGATGTAAAAAACAGATAAAATTCTTATCTTGTAATACCTTTTTTATTGGACTAACAGAATTTTTTAATGACAAGCTTTCGGGAGAACCTCCCTTTCTCAAGTCTGAAGCATTTCTGAGCAAAACGACACATAGAATTCAAAGTTGAGTTGTGATACAGGGGTTAAAGCGACATGAGTGTAGATAAGACACAGGTTTGTTAGAAAATAGACACCATCTTAGCAGAGGGTCATAAATATCTTGTTGAAGAGAAGAGTAGGGGGGAGAGAGGGAAAAGAAAAACAAACAAGCAGACAGTGCACAGGATGATACACTTTATACATGCACACACACAGAAATATGTATATGTGAACGCATAAACACATGTGTATATATACATATACATAAACACATATACATACATGCACATGGACTCATATACACAAATATAAATGCACAGTAATATATATAAGCATTCATGCATACGAGTATGGGAAAGCATAGGTCTACACATAGTACTTTGTATATAGATAGAATAAACATATAGGGATGCATTTTAAAGTGTTGGTAGATATGACAGAATAGTAAGATAATGCTGGGAGAGTGTTCATGTAAAGTGTTGGTAGTGGGACAGGAATCCCAAATCAATATTTAGTCCTCTCTTCTTGCTGTTAAACCATTTAATCATTCTGGCTTCAAAGGCTTTTCTTTCCTGGGTATTTTTAAAACCCCCTTTCAGTACTTTGATTTTTAGGTCCTTCAGTGAGTGGCCAGGCTGGGTAAAGTGGTGTCCCACAGGAGTGCAGTATGATTCTTCTTTGTGGTGTTTAATAGAGTGTCTGTGCATATTCATTCTGCCATTTAATGGCTGGGTGGTTTCCCCAATGTAGTATCCTAGGTGGCATTTTATGCATTGAATCATGTATACCACATTGCTGGATGTACAGGAGTATGAACCTTTAATGCTGTAGGTTTTATTGTTGTGTGTGGCTGTGTTGTCTGTGCATATGTGCTGACACAGTTTGCAGCGAGGTTGTTTGCATTGACTGGTCCCGTTTTCTTCGTTCTTACCATCAGTGGGCAGCCTCCTGTTGATTATATGTTGAGTATATTGCTAAACAACTAGAACATGATCTACACTATTTTTACAAAAAGCAACAAAGGGACCTTTTTAAGAAGAAAAATAATAAACTCAGACTACAGCAGGATTATCACAAACATTTGGCAGAGAAAGAGAAATGGCAAGAGAAATCTGGTATTAACATTTAACATTTCGGATTACAAACTATCTGACCCAGAAGCATCAGTTCTCTCCAAAGGACTATCATTTTGCCCTAGCACAAAACTTGATGACATTGGGCTCTACTCTGACGTGGAAGAATTTTTCAGAAGGATGCGACTTAAGGAATACTTCCATGACAAAAAGAGCACTGAAACCACAATGGATTACAACAACCGGAAAAAAAACACTAATTTCAGTCCAGCACCAGGACGAAATGCCAAACTGGACAGTTACATTGAAAGTTTCCGTCTAAGAACAGTATCCTTGACAACCAAGAAAAACCAAAAGAAAATGTTTCATAATCTCTCAGTACAGGAACAAATGGCTATAAATGACCTGAAAAATAATCATGCTATCACCATCAAACCAGCAGACAAGGGAGGAGCAGTAGTGATAATGAACACCCAGGACTACATAAAAGAGGGTGACAGGCAATTGTCAGATGACAAATACTATAGAAAACTAAATGAAGACCCCACCAAGGAATATACATCACAACTTAGGGAGCTCATTAAATCCTTCCCTGAGAACTTACACCTAGAACTGCAATCACTCATACCAACTAGTCCCTGCATGGGCACTTTCTATATGCTTCCCAAAATTCACAAAGCCGGTAATCCTGGAAGACCCATAATTACAGGAATGGGAACTCTCACAGAACAGATCTCAGGACTGGTAGAAAATACCCTAAAACCTCTAGTCACCAACACTAACAGCTTCATAAAAGACACAACCAACTTCCTCAACAAACTCAGCCAAATCACCAATCTCCCTGCTAACACCATCCTTGTAACCATGGATGTGGAATCTCTGTACAGCAACATTCCACATACAGATGGCATCAATGCTTGCTTCCATTTTCTCTCTCATGTCAACAACCAAAAATAAAGCCCCCAAATTATCACAAAACTGGCACTATTTATCCTCACACATAACTACTTCAGTTTCAACAATGAGGTTTACCTACAAACCATGGGCACTGCTATGGGCACTAAGATGGCACCCCAATATGCTAATCTGTTTATGGCAGATCTTGAACAGAGATTCCTAGAAATCCAACACACCAAACCATACAAATATTATCGCTACATCGATGATATCTTCATAATTTGGACTGAAAGCAGAGAAAAACTGATATAGTTCCATGACTCTTTCAACACATTCCATCCATCAATCAAACTAAAAATGGAATATTCCACTAGATCTGTGAATTTTCTGGACACAACTGTGACATGTAATAATGGCACAATCCACACCTCGGTTTACAGAAAACCCACAGACAGGTGCAGTTACCTACACAGCTCCAGCTTCCACCCCTCTCATACTAAACAGGGCATCATCTACAGCCAAGCCACTAGGTACCATCGCATATGCTCTGATCCTAATGACCGTAATTCCCATCTAAATGTACTCTCCCAATCTATGAGACAGAAAGGCTACAAACCAAAGACTATTACCAAACAAATCAACTCTGCTGTAAAAACGCCACGTACGCGCCTGCTACAATACAGAGAGAAAAAAATATGCACACGAGTGCCACTTGTGGTCACCTACAACCCTGCTCTTGAGGAAATACGGAAAATCATCAAAGACCTACAACCAATATTAACAGAAGATGAGACTCTGAAAAACATTTTCCCTGAAACACCCATTTTGGCCTTCAGACAACCACCAAACCTCCAACAAAAATTAATCAACAGGAGGCTGCCCACTGATGGTAAGAACGAAGAAAACGGGACCAGTCAATGCAAAAAACCTCGCTGCAAACTGTGTCAGCACATATGCACAGACAACACAGCCACACACAACAATAAAACCTACAGCATTAAAGGTTCATACTCCTGCACATCCAGCAATGTGGTATACATGATTCAATGCATAAAATGCCACCTAGGATGCTACATTGGGGAAACCACCCAGCCATTAAATGGCAGAATGAATATGCACAGACACTCTATTAAACACCACAAAGAAGAATCATACTGCACTCCTGTGGGACACCACTTTACCCAGCCTGGCCACTCACTGAAGGACCTAAAAATCAAAGTACTGAAAGGGGGTTTTAAAAATACCCAGGAAAGAAAAGCCTTTGAAGCCAGAATGATTAAATGGTTTAACAGCAAGAAGAGAGGACTAAATATTGATTTGGGATTCCTGTCCCACTACCAACACTTTACATGAACACTCTCCCAGCATTATCTTACTATTCTGTCATATCTACCAACACTTTAAAATGCATTCCTATATGTTTATTCTATCTATATACAAAGTACTATGTGTAGACCTATGCTTTCCCATACTCGTATGCATGAATGCTTATATATATTACTGTGCATTTATATTTGTGTATATGAGTCCATGTGCATGTATGTATATGTGTTTATGTATATGTATATATACATGTGTTTATGCGTTCACATATACATATTTCTGTGTGTGTGCATGTATAAAGTGTATCATCCTGTGCACTGTCTGCTTGTTTGTTTTTCTTTTCCCTCTCTCCCCCCTACTCTTCTCTTCAACAAGATATTTATGACCCTCTGCTAAGATGGTGTCTATTTTCTAACAAACCTGTGTCTTATCTACACTCATGTCGCTTTAACCCCTGTATCACAAATCAACTTTGAATTCTATGTGTCGTTTTGCTCAGAAATGCTTCAGACTTGAGAAAGGGAGGTTCTCCCGAAAGCTTGTCATTAAAAAATTCTGTTAGTCCAATAAAAAAGGTATTACAAGATAAGAATTTTATCTGTTTTTTTACATACATACATATATATATATATATATATATATATATATATATATATATATATATATATATATATATATATATATATATATATATATATATATTTTTTTTTTTTGTGAGAATATTCTTATTTAAAACCCTGTGAGGTTAGAACTTACTGAGCTGGGTTTCACAATGGTCCTGTTCACAGTGACTGCACGATGCCTTCTGTTGTGTGGTGGGGTGGTGTTGGCGACTGTATTTTGAGGCATGCTTAGCCGGTTTACTGGCGTAGGAGGGGCACTGTCTGCCCTGGGACGAGAGATACCTGGTGAGAGACAGACAAGTCACCTGAGGTAAGCCTCATTTCCTGCTGCCCCCAAGGATTAAAAACTTATGATAAAGTTGATTAGTGCAAGATTGAGTCCCACATACAGCAATGAATGTTAAATTTACAAAAGCAGTTTCTTTCTGTTCAAACAAATCCAATCATCAGTTTGGATTCCACTGGGTGAGGCCAATTGGGTTAGAATTGATGTAGCTCAGAGACCATCACGATATGTACTTCAGCAATGTGCTCTCTGCTTTAGCTTTCCCATAACAATGAGTTGTGGGCAACAAAGTTAAAAATAGTAAAATAGGAGATGTTTTGTGATCTAGCTATTTTTGCATAAATTGTGCTGTACTTCATTGCAAGTGGCTCAGGCATATGTTCACACAGTCCTGTCATACAAATGGAATAGAATGGATTATTCCTCAGAGCCAGACAACTACGGGTACTACCAATGGCCTTGGATAATGTAGGAGAACATAGCCACAAAACAGAACTGGGCTGTAAGAGACTTTGGTGTTTTCACATGAACAAAAGATGGGCCATTAGCTATCTTTGTTCAGACACTCTACATTCTCAATCAGGTTCTGCTAAAATGTATCCAGCATGGTTCACCAGCTTTACAGTTGGGAATAACTATGTGCATAGCTCCTAAATCTCTGGAACACTGAAGGACAGTCATGATTTGAGACGTTAGGTTATCGGTTTTTATATAAACTTTCTCATTCTTTCCTTGGGATCCTGATCTTGGGGACAACAAATGCTTTAAGACATTAAAATTCCTTTGGGCTGCATGAAACTGGCATTGAAAGCCCTTTTGTAGCACATTGCACTTGTGCACACCTAGTTGGCAGTCCAACCCTCTTTAGCCGCACCTTTAGATCTTCCAGTGTCATGAGTAATGCAAGCATGAGTTTTGTATCATACAGTCAATTAATTTTAGCATCAAACACATTAACATTGCCAACATAGCAAAACAGAGTGCAAGAGAATGCAGAGAATGGGTATAAATTTTAAAAGCTTTTTCTACAGTGGGTCCACGCTCTCTTGCACTCAGTTTAGATGGATTCCTGAAACCATAACCCTGCACTAAACTATAATTATTTAACCCCTTAAGGACACATGACATGTGTGACATGTCATGATTCCCTTTTATTCCAGAAGTTTGGTCCTTAACTTAAAGGTAGGAAGTTCTAAATATGGCATTGCCAACTCATCCTTTCATAATTTTGATGATGGAAATAGGAGTACCACTGAGTGGGTACTCAGGTACCGATTCATTTAATTATGAGAAAGTGTGCCAAGATCATTGAGACTCATTAGGGGAAAACAAAGCACAATATGTATAGTAATAACTATGAGAGCTACATTGTCAATCATGAATGGTTTCAAACTCATGACTGCAATGAGGCCCCTGAGTGCATATCATGATTGTATAATTCAGTTTAACAGAAATAAATTTGACATGTCAAATCACGAAATGGAATGCTTATAACAAATTGGACCATTCACAGTGAAAACTAATTTCGAGAAAAATCTGTGCAGATTACAAAAATTTCCCGTCACCAACACCCCCAAGAGATAACCTACTTTGAGGTGCAAAATGCATTGGTATAATCTGTATAGAAACATGCTTCACAGCTAGTTATTTTAAACAAATCAGCTCTACACCATGATAGCAGCATTCTGTTTTCAACAGTCATGTAATATGGTGGTAATTTTTTTTTGAAAACCCCTTGTGTGTTCTATATTAGCAGCTGGGTGCTAAATTGTTTGAACATGACAAATTCACATAGATCTGTGTAATACCATTATTTTCACGTAATTCAAGGGGGAATCCTATAGTAAGAATAATAAATTTAGAGTGAAATACTACGATGATTTTAGAGAAACTGATCAGATAATAGACGAAAGCCGGCATTAAATGCTTTGACAGCAACACCGAAATCCGTTAAGTGGCACTATTTTAGATTATTTTTTATAAAAAAAAAAAAAAAAAAAAAAAGCCAAGGATCTCTAGTCTAAATACTTTATATTCTGCAACCTAAAATATTTGCCTTTTATTTGTCAACTTACTTCCTACAGAGCAAAACTTATTATATTCATAAGAAATAGAAAGGACCCTCAACAAGTTTCTCCATAAATTTAAGGTAAAATGAAGACTTCATTCATGATGTCATTGGTCACCAGTCACCTTGCAAACCACCACTATAGATCAGCTGGTGTACATATTACTGTGCAACGATCAGTGTAAAAAGGTATCTGGTCTTACAAAACTTAACGGCACGTAATGGCATGTGCTTGGAAGGCTAATTTTCTTGCCTGTGCGCAAAGATATATGCAGTTTCTTTCAGCCTTGCTTTGTACTCTGACACTGATGTGAGTACACCAGTGACTAATGATGCAAACTGTCAGGAACTGATCTACTTTTCCCATCTACTGTGTGTGTGGGTGATAGGGATTTTGCAAACAAAATGCAAAGATGCTACAGTGGAATAGGCTGCTTTAACGCCTTTACATATTTTTTTCTGTTACCATTCTGTGTGAAACTTTAAAACTCCCCTTTAATTCCAGACACAGCAGACATGTTGCAATAACTCTGTGTACCAATCAGTGCACAATGATACCGGTTGCCAGGTTTACTAGCGTCATGATTTAAATATTGTGCAGTGTTATTAGCTGTATTTATCAGCACAGCTAACCGATTTGAAGACTGCAAACAGAATGCTGCATATTTTTGGAATAGTAAATTGTGACCCCAAAGGTTAAACAGAATCAGTGGTTATTAACAGACATTTTCCCTGATTCTTTGTACCCAACTAAGTGCATGTTAGGAAGGAGGCTTGGATACCATAGTAAGGTAATCTTTGGAACCCAATTTTCTTAAAAACCGCAACTCCTGAAGAAGAAAGATATATTTTTTTTTTTTTACTGCTATCAAGTATGAATGCAGGTGTTTATTCCATATGCTGCTGCATTAACACATCCCACATACAAAATGCTTACCTCTGGGATTGGGAGCGCACACCCTTGAGGAGAAAAAAACCCAAACCTCACCAAGTCCACTGTATGCTGCTAGTTTGCTTTTTATATAAAATTTCAATAGATGCACCTAATCAGAATACAGAATTATAACCTTGCTATAAGTTTCACTCTAACATGAAAGCGGCTCTATCACTTTCTGGGTTCTTTGCAAGACCGTAGACTGTGACTGCTCCACTTGCAGTGCAGTGGTCCAGGGAAAGTTAGTTTTCACTTATATGAACCGGTCTCTCACGGCCTCCACCATCTGCCAGGAGCTAACGTTACCACTGTACTCTTGTAAATGTGCTAGAATAGAACACGGGTGTCTGTGGAGGATTTTGCAAGAACCTTCAAGTGATGGTGAAGGGCTTGAGAACAGTAGCTCCACCTTTTTTTCATACGTAAAAAAACAAAAAACAAAAAAAAAAAAAGATAAAGTAGTCCCTACTTTAACTTATATATTTTGACTTGGTTGGAACGTCAGAGAAATTCCAACACAGTCTTTATGAGCATTTCATAAAAAAATATCTTTCTGAAATGCTCATTTTTTGCGCGGGGTGATAGCCGTAGTATAAATTTAAAAATTCCTGTTTAAAAAAAATAAAATTATATATCTAAACACAATATATGTTTTGATTTTCCCTTAAAATGATGTTAAAATCGTACACTTCAAAAACCACAAATACACACACGATTCAGTCAGCATACAGGACTTTTATCTGCATCACTTGATATTGCAACAAGTGAAATACTGACTCCTTTGAAATTTGAACATAGCAAAAAGAAGTTTGTTTTTAAATATGTACTGTGTTTCATAAAATGTCCAAGTTATTTTTGTATGAGGATTATAACAAGAGAATGAACATAGTAAAGGCTAAGAAATGGGGGAAACAAGGAGAGCGTTAATAAACAGGTACTGGTTTTATAAAAAAAATGTTTGTACTTTACCTAAGAAAGCATCCACTAAGCAGCTAACCCCACGCATGGCTCGGAAGAAAATATGGGGCAGTTGTTTAAGACAGGAATACTGGTTCAGTTCTTGAGTCATCCCACTGACATTCAGAAACTGCTCCTGAAATTTGGGTGTTGTGCCTATAATACTTGGGTTGCTTAGATCCACAGGATTACTATGACAGATACAAAGAAAAGAAAAAACATAAGAACTCTGTGAAGGTACTAAAACAACACATGGGGATTATATATAAAGAACAAGTCAGGGCAATCAGCAGGACAATCTTAATTGTTTCCACGGCAATTGCTTCACTTTAATAATGTTTCCTGATAATATTCTTTATACATTACCCTAATAACATAATTATTATATAGTATTAGTCATGTAAGGCACAACTTGCCTTGTGAGCTATAAGAAAGACAAGCACAAAATAAACAATAAGATATTCATAACTGGCTGACGGAGGCAGACTGCAAAGGCAACAGGACATGATTAATTCCTAGCAAACTGCTCTCTTAGACTTCACTCTGGGGCACGCACCATCAGCCTAGATCCCCGAATTGACTGACTGCCCTTGGCAGCTGTCCAGCCGAAATTCTTTGTCGCCACTTGTATGGCCTGGCAGGAGCTGTGGAAGGTAGAGGAGGTGATCTCCCAGTGCGCCACAGGCAAGATATCGACAGACTCGAGATGGTGCCCATTTAACCCCCCCCTCCCGCCCACCACAGGACCAGCAAAGCTGATCCCGATCCCCTCCCTGGCTTTCCTAGGGATAAAATAGCAGTGCCACAATCATAGGCTATTGTGACAATAATACGACCAACATGGCAGACCCCACATCTACCCTTGAACAAAGCAGAGAGGTATCCCCTACTCTACATCGCCTGGATGCAATATTCCAAGTTTTCTGGCAGAAACTGAACTGCAGGGGACCATGTCTGCTCCATGAACTGAGAACGCTTGTGAGTCCTAAGCATTTTTACTTAAACTAGATCTACGCTCTGTTCAATAACTGCAGGATAAGGCCATCTGCAAAGTAATGCTACTTTTGATTTTTAGTTATATATGTGCATAATCTCTATGAGGATATGCTGATTGGTGCAGGGTTTTGCCGTGCATGCGCAATAGCCTTCTAATGCTTTCCTATGGGAAAGCTTTGAGTTAATCACTTCTGATGATCTCAGTCAAGTAGGCGGATCGAGGGCAGAGCCAGCGCCTGCTTGCACTGGAAAGGTACGTTATCTACTTATCTAAGGGGGCCAAGGGGAGGCGGGAGCCTTACCTTGAGATAGATATTATATGTATATATTTATATATATATTTTTTTAAGTGCATCTTATCTTGACATTAAAGGTTCTACTCACATACCTATCTTCAGTGTTCATATTCACACCATATATCACTGCTAACTTGTGTATGTAGCACTGCACTTCAAAAAAAAATAAAGAATGTTAAAAAAAAAAAAATTTAAAAAAAAAAAAATTATAGATTCCTTCTCAATGCACAAACTCACTAACATTCACTAAAGTGTGAACTGCCAGGAATTTAAAGTGCATTTCAAGAATTTAAAATTCAATGTCAATTCTGTTTTCAGTTCGGCTATTTTGACTTTGCATTTGAAAAATTCCCTTTGAAGTCCTGACAATTCTTAAGTGAAGAACCCTGTATGTGTCACATGTTCTCTCTCCAGTACAGTATAATGGAAACATCCTTAGGTTTTTTTTATTTTTTGCATTAACAAATGAAGATACACCCCTCTGAATGTCCATTGTTTGTTACACACTCCAATAAAAGTACTCAGCAAGCTACTATCAGCTGACTTGCAGCTTCACTTTGCTTGCCGAGTTGCTTTATCCATATCAAAATATCCCTATTCCTTCAAATTTTTATTGTAAAAATAATGCAATACCTTTGATCAGTCACGTGAAACAGCATGAAAATGTTCATTTTTAATATGCATCTGTAAATTGCAAAATATAGTACCAATTTCATTACTCTAACTACATTATACATGCAGAACTAAACATTAATGCAAAATTGTGCGCTCAGTTAATGCAGAAAAATCTGAAGCATTTCAATAAGTTACGGTGCCACTGTTGTCGCTAGTAAAATTAAGGCTTATTTTTTCATTATTTCAAGATGTTTAAGTAGCAGATTTACACTAGACCCCTGGGTTGGGTTTCAAATCAGGCTCTCCATTCTAATTTTCTGTGAGTCTCTGTGGCTGGGCCAACATCACACATTTTGTTAAAGCAATGGCCGACAGTAAAACGGTTTACTGTAGCAACAAAGGAGAACCCTTTAATTTCTGTAAGAGTTTCAAGGGAAACTATAGTCCCAGGAAAACAAACTTGTTTTCCTGGCACTATAGCTCCCAATATTGCCCCCTCCGTCGCAGCTCAACCCCCCACGCGTTACAGAATGACTTCTGTCACTTACCTGATACCTTTGCCTCCGCTCCTCCCTAGTTGTTGTCAGCTGGCAGAGGAGACCTAATGTGCATGTGCAGAGAGAGTCGTGCTTGCATTAGGACTTTCCTCATAGGAAAGCATTATACAATGGCAGACAGCCACTAGAGATGAGTTAGCCCTCAAAAGGGAATTATTGTAGTTTATTATAAACTGCAATAATTACCTTTTGCAAGGTTAAGGGACCTGAAACACTGCACCTAGACCCCTTCAATGAGCTTAAGTGGGCTGGGTGCCTAGAGAGTCCCTTTAGTAGTTCAGCTACATCTGGAGGGTCGTAGTTTGAGGAAGCCTGCTTTAAGGAATATGTTTTTGTATATAATGAGAAAAAATAAGGTCTCATGACAAATGTCATACATTCATGTCAAAAGATGCTAAAGGGAACCTATAGTCCCAAAAATACCAATAGTTTTTTCAGGACTATTGGTTCCCTTCTGTCTATATTCCTTTGGAAATAAAAAATAAATATATTTAAAGAATGATTACTTTGTTTCCACCTTCAAATAGGTCAGTGGTCTGTTCCAATCTAATGCTTGTCATAGAGAAGCAATGGATATGAAATAGGCACGTGCGGTCAAATGGGGTGCTCCCCCAATCAAATCTTGCCATCAGCAGCATTTGATTCTAGGACAAAGTTTGACTCTGTTCTGGAGGAGAAAGTGCCTCTAGTGGCTGGATTGCAGGATTAAAATAAAAGGATCACTGTAGTCAAACCATTTCATTGAGATAAAGTGGTATGGGCTATAAGTTTCTCTGACAAAACACTGCATTTAGTTTAGAAAGACAATATTCCTGGCTGAAAGCAAACGGTCATGTAGCCTTGTTCACTGAACCCTTAATGCAATTACTGGGGAAATGCCAATAGTGGAATCTACGTGCTCCTTTTTAGAGCTCCCTGCTAATCAAACTAGTACTTCAAAACCACATAGATAGAGGTTGATTTAGATGCTTAGCATTCCACAGAAGGGAGGGGAAACAATTGATGTTGGCTAGTTATAGCAAATTAAATTCTCACTTTGCTTTAAATTGTAATTACAGTTCTGCATTGATTTTCAAACCTTAGCATGTGAAGGAATCGGAACCATGTCTGTGTCACACATTCATTATCCATTTCAGCTGGGATGAGGCTGGCATCTTCTTCAGGAATCTTAAAAGGAGGAAATGATGGTCCGTAGGTGAACCGCAGCAACCTGCACAGAAGCCATGAAAATTCAAGTCACACAGGATAGAAAGGAAACATGACTGCCAAGAAAAAAAAAAAAAAATATTTGCTTCACCACAAAAATAAATAAAAGTGGCGATACCCCAAGTTTTGAAAGACAATCATTTGAAATTGTAGACATAGTGAACAAGTCTTCTTTATGTTCCTTATTTGACGCCAGGGGTGTTGCTAGTTAGAAATAAAGCCCTGGGGTCTTCAGTCCAAGGATAAACCACATGCTCCCTCCCTTATATATAGACGTACAAAATTCACCCAAATTGTGTCCTAAGGCTACAACCCTAAACCCTAACATATTATATTATAGAAACCGCAGAAATCACATCTACTGTATTAACCCTACACCCGCAGCACTAACCAAAAACGTGAAGGATTAAACCTGCACCCTACCCAATGCATTAAAACCTTGCTCCCACCGTAATACCCCAACTAACTCCAAAAACAGTGCTAATGTTAAGTAGGAACGCCACAAATTATGTAATTGGAGGTGATCGTTCATCAAACCTGGGCGATTCAAGACTCCGTTTGGGGATGCCCTGACTTGACACAGGACATGATACTTAATTTATTTGCTTGCAAGGTTTAGCTTTCCAACATTCTGACAGAGTTTTGTTGGACCAGATCCCTCTTCTTAAGTAGTCTATAATCTTAACTGATATTTACCATTTACCCATTCTGACTATGCACCACATCAGATGCACTATGACCTCAGCTTGACAGATACTTTGCATAGGATAATCTCCAGAATGTTCTTCTAAACCTGAAAGCACTATTTTTCTAATGTCCTCCTTTCAGTGGCGTACTAAGGCCCCCTCTTTATCATGCTAGAAGACACATGGGCTGCAAAATGTTTTGTATTCAGTGTCTGTTTGTGTAGTGCATGTACTGTGTGTGTTTGTTGTGTGGGATAACTACAGGGGGGAGGGAGTGCAGTTTTTTTTTTAATTAGTTGGGCTTATTCCCCCCTCCCTGCCTCTTGCCTGTGAAGTGTAGGGGGAGAATAAGCCCAACTAATTAAAAATCGGCTTTTTCCAGTACTTATCCCACACAACAGACACTACATGCACTATACAAACACACTGCATCGGCTACACAAACACGCACACTATATACACTAGACAAACGCGCTGCATCAGCTACACAAAAACTCACCACATTTACTACACACAGTGCATCCACTATAAAAAACACAGATACTGTGTACCTGTCTATCTGCATATATATCTGTGTGTGTTTGCATCTGTAAGTCTGTATTTGTATCTGTATGTACGACTGTGAATCTGCATGTGTGTACCTATGTATCGGTGTATATGCATATGTGAGTATATATCTGTGTGCATCTGTATGTCTATAGATCTATACACACACACACACATCTCAGCATCTTGCCAACACTTCATACAAATACACCTCTGTATTCAAACCTCAACACTACAAACACAGATAAGTATTAGACTACCACCATTATATATAAATACACCCCTGTATTTATAAAAAAACAAAAACCACAGATGCACGCCTGCATTTTGTATGTAGTGCCAACACTACATACAAACACGCAACTTACATACGCCATAAAAAAAAAAAAAAACATGCTTACATTCAAACACACAAGCACTGCTCAGTGCTAAATACATTAAAAATAGTTAGTGTTTGTTTTTTTACATTAAAATAATAATAATTCTTTATTTTGTGGTGCATGGGATAAACAAGGAAGCATGCAATGCCACAACAGCGATTGCCAGCCAGCCAGCCAACATAGAAAAACAATTATTTGGCACAAAAATAACATTGCACATTTTATATTATAGCGGAGAATAGTCACAAGGTTAGCTCTTATGTCAGCTCTGAGACAAGGTTTTGTGGGACTGAGTCAGATTAATCATACTGACATTTGACGTAAGGATTTTATATAAACAAGCTTGAATGGGACATTTCCTACTTAACGAGTTGTGAAAAGACAAGGTTTGAAATGTCTAGAGACTATCTGCTACATCCAACTGGGAGTGAGAGTATAAATATGGTCAGCAGGGCTGTATGTTGGGAGTGTGCACTAACTAAAACAGAAATGCAAACAGAAAACAGAAGAAATAAAAAAGATGCACAATAGTCACACTGTAATTTTAGTCTCATGCAGGTGTATAGCTGTGTTGCTTTCTGCTAGTACGGCCATGTGAGAGGTAGCCAGTCATAGGCCACGAGTCCCATAGAGTCCTGTAGTGCCTCCTTGGTCAGCCTATGCCTTCAGGAGTCGTAGGCCAGACCTGCAACACGCCGACCAGGTTTTCAAGCCAGGGTGGAAGTCGGCAGGCCTGTGGGTGCAGGAGGCATGCAGGTATTCCATTTAGACAAGAAAGGGATCGCATCAGAGTGCTCCGGCTGGGTAAACAAAGTGTGTTCCTGTTAGCTACTGTAGAAAGGCGGTTGAGCCTTGAGGCATTTACCTGGAAGGTCAGGGCACTGTGCCCGTGTGAGGGGCGGCACTGCTGCTTAAAGTTACGCAGGCGCCTCTTCTGTCTCCTCTGTAGGGTGTGAAGGTGTCATGTGCGTCGTAGCCCCCATCTCCCACGATTTTCATCCCCGAAAGAAGTGTTGCTTCTGTTTACGGGGGTCCATTCATCCCCTACGGCATGTGGTGCTTAGGAGTGGACGTGTTAGATTTCACGGTTCGTGCGGTCTGCGAGGTGGGGGATGCCGCGGCTTCTGCACGGAGTCTTATCCGCTCTCAAAAAGCTGCGCAGATGTGATCGAAAGCAGTCATTAGGCCCCTCAGAGTCGTGCTCTGTCTCCATGTGAGGTGCCGACCTAGAGTCGCGGCTGGTGTACTGTGTGCACAGGTCAGTCCCAGGGGGTAGAAATGCAGCGTAGGGAGCCGGGTTATCCCTCTCACCAGGTAGTTTGTGGGTAGAGGGATCGGCCGCCTCCCTCACTCCTGTTTCGCTTGGTAGGCCGCAAATAGGCCTCAGGCTTGCTCCAGTGAGATGCTGACCAGTTGACGAGGTGCCAACAGCCAGATTGGTAGCCCTGGGGTTGCAGTGTCACAGCAGGGTCTTCTGGTGTCAGGTTGGCGTAGCAAGAATCAGTTTAAGAGATAAGAAATCTCCAGGAGCTCATGCTAGTCAAGCCCCGCCACCCCTTTTCTTTACATTTTTTGGGGAGTACCAAATTAGAATCCGCCCTGGGTGCCAAATGCTCTACGTATGCCCCTGTCTCCTTTATTATCATACATACACACAAACAATAGCTGACACACTACAACTTTACTCTGTCTTCTTTCAATCTCAATTGTTTTGCAATATTGCTTTGGTTTCTGTTCTCAAATTTATTGTTTTACATTTAAAATTAACCTATATAACTTTCTTGTTCAGGAGAGAAAAAAGATATAAAAATCTACAGAATTAAACGATATTGCATTCACATATATACACACACGCTTTAAGCTTATTTATAAAAACAAATCTCTTGCCTTCTCCCTTGAAAACCAGCATGTTCCTTACCTAGAAGTAAGAGCACATATGGCTTTATTCCACTGCTCTACCACAGCAGGATGGTGTCTCCAGTTGGCCACCATTTCTTTGGCTGTCTTCCAGTAGGGTGGAGTGGGAAAGCAGCGTGTGCAGGCCAAAAACCAGACCTCAAAGAGCACACCAATCAGCTTATCAGCCAGGTTCTCTGCAATGCCACCTGAAGGAAACAAAATCCTAAGTGTTACCAACAAGTAAAAAATAAAAAAAATGTAACATCTGCTTTGACTGGTATTTTTAACTAGAATAGCTTTTCATAGTGTAAACTCTTCAAGGTAACTGCTCCCCTTCTTCTGTAATGTAACCTATCATACATTGTAAGAATATATATATATATATATATATATATATATATATATATATATATATATATATATATAAAAAAAAAAAAGAATCTACCCATAGCTTACCAAACTAATAAATCTGAAAAAAGCCATCAATTAAACAGGAAAGATTCTAAACCTGACATATATGTTGCCATTAAGGGCACATGTAAATGTACCGGCTTTACAAAGATGAAGAAGCAGAGAAAAAGAAAGCCGGAATCTCAAACATCTCTGGGCTGGATAACTGTTCAATGTTGTTTCACCGAGTAAGTTCCCCATAGATACTTTATACCACTCCTGTAAAGTAAATCTTTTGTCCGTTCTCATATTCTCCGTTTTTGTTACAGAGAAACCTCTATAGCTTGTCCTTCGGTTAGTCCACACTCAGATCTCAAACACGTTTTTGCTCAGTTGAGTCCTAACAAAGATAACCTATACCATTTGCAAATTAGACTGATCTCAGCTATCAAGGTAGTCTAGATCCGAAATGCTGGCAAGTTCCTTCTGCATAAGTGATACAGCAACCCTGGATGATCATTTCAGACTTCTTTGGGACTAGTCAGCAAGGTGTAGTTGATAACCCTCTAGGCACAGTGACCAAGAGTCTGGATTCTCTCTCCCCCCTTCATTATTGTTTTAAACATATAGGGTTACTCTCCATTCTCCATAATCTATTTTTAGCCATTATTAACCAACCCCCACCACCTTATTTGATTAAAAAAAAAAAAAAAAAAAAAAAGCAAGCACACAACCTCTTCACCCCCAAAAAACAAACAAAAAAACAACATAGTTAAATGATCAAGCATTTGATTGGACAGTTTTCCCTGGTTTATAGTGCATGCACACACTCTGAGCTGGGGAGGAACTAAAAAAAACACACACACACCAAAGCCTGTGTATCTTGGCAGAAAGAAATGAAACGTTTTATTTTTTAGTTCTAAAGAAATGCATTTGCTTAAAATAGAACACTATAAAAATAAGTAGTACAATTCAATATAAAATCTCACTTTTATTCCAGAAGTTTGGTCCTTAAGGGGTTAAAGGGAATCATGACATGTCACACATGTCACGTGTCCTTAAGGGGTTAAAATTGTAGACATTGTCTACCCTGCGGTCTCTTCACAAACCAAAGCAAAACCCACAAGGGGCAAAATGGAACAAGTTAACATTGTGGTCACCTTGGCTGCAGAGGAAATCAACAAATGGTGGAATTCTACTTCACAAAAGGAAATGCTAGAACAATAAGTCATGTCCTGAAACTGGAGGATCATGGGAATTAAAAATAGCACTTTAAAAACGTGCTACAAAATAAATGCTTTTTAAAGAATGCAATGTAGTCTGCGGATTAAGTGTGGACAGGTCTATTCTAAGTGTAAACAGGAACTCATGGTTTAACTCCTTTGAGAACAGGGCTAGCCAAATCCATTTTTATCATGACAGCAGTGACATGCCTTAGTCCTGAAGGAGTTAAAGAGAGTACTAAATGGTAGAGGGAAAAGAACAAGATGTGATTCTAAATTATACAATTATATGCCTTTGCAGTAAGGCAATGCATTTTCAGCATTAGGGATATTCAAGTGGTTAGGAGAATATATATATAAAACCCAGCAGAATCACAAATACAGAAATACTCTATCCAATGTCATTGCCACATAAAACTTCACCACCACAAACATTAAGAGAGGAGCACTCAAAACCAGTGCAGGAGCTTCCAGGCCGCACAGAAGGATGTGACTCACCCCCACGGTAAATTGGTTTGGCTTCACACGGTGGGAGGGAGCCAGGGCAGTCCTGGCACCACAAGCACTACAGTGGGTTGTAGTGGTTATGGTCTTCCTATAAAATTTCCCAATGATTTACCCTTTAGTAAACAACCATGATAGTTTGAACTTAGCAAACCTGTCACCGTGGGAGCAGCAAGAAGGGTGTCATTTATTTGCAAAAGAAACAGGAGCAGAACCTCCCAGGTCTCACGGGTCATGCTTGCTGAATCCCTAGCCAGCTTCTGGACAGATCGTAGAACTTGCAGGCAAAGTCTACTTTGACTCCCTGCCGAGTCCTGCCTATAAGAGAAGTAAAAGAGGAGTTTAAACATACATTTTTTTTTAAACTACACATTAACCATACGATCTGCATAATATTTGCAAACAAAAATAGTATCAGCAATGTTAAACAAGAAAGGAACAACCAAGTATTCAAACAATAAAACACCGCTATTCTAATTCTGAGTGGATGTGCGTATGTTACCAACTTCCTGAAAAAAAAAAAAAAGCTTCTATTCATGTATAAATGGTTCTGACAATTACAGCCATTTAGACTTTAAGAAAGGGAATTTTACCTACATTAGTGGAGGTGGTTAAATGATCTTTACAGTAAGAACAATAAAGATGTGGAATTATCTGCCTAAAGAGGTTGTCTTATTAAATTATAAACATAGTTTAAACAAGTTGCAATAGGTTGCTTTTTTTGGCAAAAAAACTAAAACAAACAAACTCAAGGATGTAATCATTAACATGTAGGGGAAGAAGACATGCAATTTCAATTGTCACCTCAAGAAATCCTTTAACAGAAAACACTAAAAAATTTGAGTTTTCCAACTTTTTTAGCTTAAAAGTTGTAACAAAAATGTACGAATGACTGAACCTTAAAGGTACACTATAGTCACCAGAACAACTACAGCTTATTGAAATTGTTCTGGTGAGTAGAATCATTACCTTCAGGCTTTTTGCTGTAAACACTGTCTTTTCAGAGAAAATGCAGTGTTTACATTACAGCCTAGTGATAACATCACTGCCCACTCCTCAGATGGCTGTTCGAGATCCTTCCTGGGTCATTGCTGCCTAAAATGCATCCAAACATTCGGTGTCTCCTCCATCTACATGCAGACACTGAACTTTCCTCATAGAGATTAATTGATTCAATTCATCTCTATGAGGAGATGCTGATTGGCCATGGCTGTGTTTGAATCCTGCTGGCTCTGCCCCTGATCTGCCTCCTTGTCAGTCTCAGCCAATCCTATGGGGAAGCATTGTGATTGGATCAGGCCACCACTTCTGCAGATCTACAGCTTCAGGCTTGAATACAGTAAGATTTTGCTATATTTATGGAGGCATGAGGAGCCCAGGGGGGCTAGATGGGGGTTTTAACACTATAGAGTCAGGAATACATGTTTGTGTTCCTGACCCTATAGTGATCCTTTAAGGACTATTTTTATTATTATTTTTTAGCCAATATATATGCTTTAGCAAGCAAGGAGTGTTCTAGTGAACTTTAATAAAAAAAAATATATAATATTCTTTATTTTATCCAATCACTCAAATATACATATATTTTGCGAGTTTTACACCACAATACAGTATTTTGGACTGTTTTGGTTGTACATGGTCAAATCAAGCACAACGTATCAATGTAACATAGCATGTTTTGAAAAGGGAGAGAGGAAAATAAAGCTCCTTGTGAGGAGTACTAAAAGAGAAGAAGAAAGTAAGAACATTAGTGCATCTCTTTAGGGTATAGGATAAAGTAGAGAAGAATATAATGCTGTCATTGGGGGGAAACCCCCCCCCCAAAACTGTGTGTGGTCTCCCCCTCCCACCGCCGCCCTTTCTCTCTAGTGTGGATTATAAGATTCCCAACCAGAAGAAGTCTAAGGGATACGTAGTTAAGCATTTAGTTGATATTCTGTTTATCATATGGGATGAATGGAATGGACATATAAATGGATGGCAGATGTAGAAGCAACTATCAGTTTTCCGGACAGCTACATTCACATTTTTTGTGCAGTCAGATGGGACTGCAGATCAGACTCCTTTACAGTAGGCTCTGAAGTAAGCTCTGAAGGAGTCTACATGACCTGTATAGAGGTGATACAGCATACAAATATTTGGACAGGCAGATGATAAAGTATAGCATCTTCTTCTGAAGTTAGGCACTGAAGGAGCAGGTTTAGATCTGCTGTTCTAAGTAAATGCGCAGTGTACTGTGTTAAATCATCAGTTATGCTGCTTGGGATCTTCCTTTAGCTGACAATGCTGGACTGCTTACACATGTGTCTTGTATCTACTTTAAGTAAATGAATGCTTTTCCTGATGCCATATGAAAGGCATTCCACAATCGTCTCAGGTTGATTTGATGTTTGTATATATGTGAAAGTACCAAAAATTTACATATCTGAGAAATATTCTCACACTTTTTAAACATGTAGTGTATTTGCAGAGTCATAATTACATGCACAAGGAGAAAATGTCTGCTCATCCACGCATAAAGCAATGATATGACCTTTAAAGTGACAGTGCTGCCACTTACCTGGTGAGAAGGATAATTTCAGCCTGGCTATAAATTGTATTTATAATTTACAAACGATTAGTGTAGTACCTATGGATGTGGTAATTGTGAATGCTTTGAGAAAGTGCAGCAAAATGTTATATAAAATACACAAAAATAAGTCCTGTGCTCAAACTCCTGGGCGGCAGCAACGACCATAGCACACATCAGCCGCAATACATACATTAAAAAAAAAAAAAGGTTACCTGCGCACTAGCCCAAATCCCTATGCATATTTAACCCCTTAAGGACCAAACTTCTGGAATAAAAGGGAATCATGACATGTCACACATGTCATGTGTCCTTAATGGGTTAAATAAATTGAGGTTATTTAGTAACTCCAATGCCCAAAAGTTATATAGGATACAGCAATAGATATATAGACAGATATACAATAATATAGCTTATTCCTCGAGTATTATATAAGGTTTTCTAGAATTATTGTACTTAAAAGGTGAAGAAAGAACCATTTTTGAAAGAAGTCAGTATTCAGCGAGCAAGCTGCATGGTTTACATTAGCAGTGTTAATGTAAGACGTATACACTTGACTCCTTCACTGCAAGTCAGACAGGAGCCACTGAACTCACAGCTTTATCTTCAGTATACACAGACAAGATCCTATTTTAAACATTTTTGTTGAATTTTTTTTTTTTTTTATATAGTGCTTCTGATTTTCTACTCAACTGACTGCCAATTACGTAGGAGAATACATTTTCACTCTCCTGGAGCTGTGACATACAAGGAGCTGGTTGTAGCACTAGGAACTTTTTTGGGGGCAGGGGGAGGGGAGGTTAAGTGAAAAAAAACGCAAAAAGACAAAAACCTCAAACCCTTTTTGAGCATTCTCATCCAGGATCTAAAAAAAAAAAAAAACCCCAATATATATATTCTTGATGAGAATGGTCAAAGAGGATTAATGGGCTTTTTGCTGGTTTTATTTTTACTATCCACCCACCCCCCTCTCAATATCTCCTACTTACATTGGTTTACAAAATATAAAATGATTTCAATATTATGAAGTGGAGAGAAAAATAAAATGTAGGATCATCAGGAATTCCCACAGTTCTACCATGATATATCTGCTAGCTGCTCATACTTTCTTTTAATGCAAATAAAACCGATATGTACACTGCTAGAGCATACTGAACGAGTGATGATAAAATTAAAATATAGGTTTCATCTGTCAGCTACAAATGCAATTTCTTACCTTGGAACAAAGACATTCTGTAGATGTTTGAGAATGATTTGGACATACATGTTGGGCTCTCTGACAACTGGCTGCGGAATGGAATCCTTTGGAGACACGAGGGCCAGCATCCAATCAGTGTAAACATCGACACAAAACTTTACAGTATCCCCTTCCAGTGGCAATGTGAGCCCATAACATATCACCTCCATGGTCCATTTTACCTAGTAGGTTTGACACAAACAATTACTAGAAATTGCATATGAAAAACAAAGTGTTTTCAATTCAGGTATTATCTGTAATATAACAAACATACACTACAAGCTCATGCTCACACTCTCTTTAATTGATGAGTAAATGGGAGAGATGTCACAGCTTGGTACATTTCACATGTGCTTCTAAATGAACACCGCAAGCTCCATCGCCACTATAGCTCCCTGGCCGCTTCACTTCCAATGCCAGTATTCAAACTGTTTTAGAACGTTTAGACTTATGTAGGGTATGCCAGGTGCTGATCCCACTCTCAGCCTGGAGAGCCCAAAGCTACTTCCATTAGCTCTCTTGATGGTTAACTCATCAGCTGAGAGAGTCAGAGAAAGTCCAGCTCTCTGGCTGAGGTAGTGCAGGCAAGGAGCAGCAGCCATCATACACGAGGAAAGAAGTCAAACCATGGCAGTTGCATGAAAGTCCTAGTTCCAAAACTTCTGTTGAAATTACTTTATTAATGTGATGCTATTCAGGTTTTTCCAGTTTACGGTGTCATAGGGTTAAATTTTGACAGCAAATTTTGATTTTGCTTTAGTCTTTTGACTTAAATGCCATTCAGCTTAAGTCAAATTGTTTTAGCCAACTAAATCTACTGTATAAAATCTAATGGGTTTAGTTAAAGTGTAATGCATTATTTAACCCCTTAGTGACCAGACTGTTTTTCAAATTTCTTACCGTGAAGGACCAGGGCTCTTTTTACATTTCTGCGGTGTTTGTGTTTAGCTGTAATTTTCACTCATTTACTGTACCCACACATATTATATACCATTTTTCTCGCCATTAAATAGTCTTTCTAAAGAGATCATTATATCATAATTTATTGTAAAAACATTTAATATGATGGAAAAAAAAAAAGAACACCACCTTTTCTAACGTTGACCCCCAAAATCTGTTACGCATCTACAACCGCCAAAAAATACCCATGCTAAATATATGCTAAATATTTTCAATTTTTTTTCCTGAGTTTAGAAATGCCCAATGTTAACATGTTCTTAGCTTTTTTGGGAAAGTTATATAGGGCTATAAGTACAAGTAGAAATTTGCCATTTCCAAACCATTATTTTTTCAAAATGACCGCAAGTTTCATTGTAACACTGATATCTGTCAGTAATCCCTGAAAAACCCTTTACATGTATGTATGTATGTATGTATGTTAGTTTATACATATATACATACATACACACACACACACACACAACTTTATTTTTTTAAAAGAAGACAACCTAAGGTATTCAACGTGGGATATTTTTACACTTTTCATGCAACCATTTTACCACCAATCTATGCCAAAAAAAAAATTAAATAAAAAAAAAATTAAATAAAAAAATAAAAATAAAAATTGTCACACATAGCAATTTAAGAATACGTATACGGAGAACTTTAAAGGGACACTATAGTCACCCAGACTCAATGACGTGGTCTGGGTGCCAGGTCCCTCAGGTTTTAACCCTTCAGATTTAAACATAGCAGTTTACATTGCAGGGTTAATCCAGCCTCTAGTGGCTGTCTTCCTGACAGCCGCTAGAGGCGCATCTGCGATGCTGGATGCGAAATTCGCATTCAGCGTGCAGAACGTCCATAGGAAAGCATTGAGCATTGGTTTCCTTTGGACTGTTTAAATGTGCGCGTGGCCCTTGCCGCGCATGCGCATTCCGCTCCACTCGGGAGCTGACATCGGCGGGGGAGGACACTTCACCAGCGCCGAGGGAACCCGGCGCTGGATTAAGGTAAGCTGCTGAAGGAGTTTTAACCCCGTCAGCCCCTTCCTGACACTTTAGTGATCCTTTAAGGGTTACTGCCAAAGAACACCCCAATATGTGTTCCGAAACATCTCCTGAGTATAGTGATACCCCTCATGTATAGGTGCGTCAGGTTCTCTGGGGACTATTCCACGAAAAAATAAAACCAAGTCACATAAAGAAACAAAATATGGCTATGCTTTTTCACAAAAGACCAGTAATTAGATCTATATGGATTGTATCAAGTTGCGAATGACATTCATTCTTTCAAGAACTGCAACTCTAAAATATGAAAAATAAATAAAAAATAAATCTGTATTGGCCAAGTAAAATGCTATTGCACATATTACCTCTACCTGAACATAGGAAATTAGAGTTATCTGTTAAAGGGACATGCACCGGCAAGATCCACCATAGACAGAGCCTTTACCCCTCAACCGTCACTAGTCACTTGACAAGCTTCGACAAGGCTTGATGCTGCCTTTCTGTCAAGCAGAGACATTTATGTCAATATATATTGATTTAAAAAATGTATATTATTTATTTTTATAAAATACAAATTTTGGAGGGGGTGGGGACATAGTTGACAGGGCCACTTTAAAAATATGGTCCCTTCCCCACCTGTCAATCACTTGCTGGCATAGAGGTCTACACCTCTGCACTAACACGTAAGTGACAGGAGAATGAGAACCCTTCTACGGGCTATTCTCCTGCTCTTCTGTAGAGCAACTAGAGTGCAAGCTCTGTAGCTGCTGTGATATTACTCGGACAACTGAGTCTCCATTCTGACACTGGTCTGCTGGCAATGTGTTACCCGGTAGAATAGCCCTGCTTGCAGAAGCAAAGGAAAGACAGAAGCTGGGACTTGTGTTACACCCACAAATTGACAATATGATCATGGTACAGGAGAGAAGGCAATAGGTAAAACTAAATATTCAATGTTTATGGGAAGGGGGGCTATATACGTAAACCTGTCATGACATGGTTTACTTTAACAGAGCACAAAAGATAGGATCACTCTCAATTTCGTTGACTTCTAATCTCATATAAATCAGAATTATGAGCATTCCAATGCAGTTGAATTCTGTCTCAATGACATAAGCAACAACTGGACCATTATTTCCTGTTTATACATAAAAACAATCTTTTTTAAAGAAGAAAATCTGGACTTACATATATAACAGGAAAAACCTCTTCTACATATTCATAGATATTAATAGAACAATATCCAAACACAGAATTAATGGGAGGAGTCCTTTTCCCAGATCATATTTTTAACTAACAAAAGAAGCTGCAGCTGAGGAGCTTACCTCCTTGTCGTTTTTTAAAATGCTTTCATTCCCGATGCTCGAGGGAGTATTAAGTACTTGTCCCAGTGGTCGAACCACTGAATTTGCAACTTCTCGGCCCACGTTCTCAGGATAGCAGTGAAGCACACTGGTGTTACCCTGGTCATTTTTTATGACGAGGTGCAGAGTCCTCCACTCAGAGTACATTATGAGTGCTTCTTGCAGCTCGATGTCTGAAAAGAGAAGAACTGCTTAGAAGATGGCAAAAGTCTGGAACAATTAAACAGTTGTAACCTTTTGCATAAAAAGGGTGAGGTGGCAAAGTGATAAGCACTCAGAACACTGAAACATATACACACAATCAAAATTATTCAACCACCATTGAAAATCAGGATTGTCAAAATTCTGACTTTCAGCTGTTTGCAATTAACAAAATCAAACAAAAGCAATTGAACTAGTTTAATACCACACAAAAAAAATGCTTCAAGTGGTTTCCCCAAATCCAATTGAAAATGCCTCTTATAATGACTTCTCACAACTATTCTGCCCCCTAAAGAGAATCCATGACAACAGCACAAATAATCAAAACGGGTGTTGTGCCAAGCACACCTGATGCACCTAATGACGCCTTTGATTGTTTTCACCTCATGTGCTTAAGCTGGAACACTTAAAATACCTGACTAGAAGTTTGTTGAGGGTCACGTTTGACTGAATGTTAGAAATATGGCTCAGTCAAAAGAATGGCCCACAAAGTTAAGAAAAAACAATTTCCTTCACAAACAAAGAACAGGATACAAAAAGATAACGGAGGCACTGAATATTCATAGAGATACCGTTGGAAGCATAGTTTACAAGTTCAAAGTTGAAGGAACGGTGGTTACCTGGACAGGGCAGAAAAAAGGCTTTGTGGCATTTTCAAACAAACATTCTATGGTAATTTTGCCTAAATTTACGTGATGCATATGAGATCTACAAGGAGGGTATTCCAAAAGACGTGATTAACACTGGGTGCATGTGATTTCCATATACTTCTGGGGAGCCCTTTAATGCACAAACACTGTAGGATTAAGAATTCCACATATGCATAATCACAATACAGACTTACATTTGAACCACAGCCTATATGAGATGGTCTATCTAAGTAGCCACTGTTCTACAGGAGAAAGAACGGCAATCTTAAGCTTGGTGTTACTATTGGTGCATAAGCATTAATCTTAAAAGGGACACTGCAGTCATCTAAACAAATTTAGCTTAATGAAGTATATTTGGTGTATAGATCATGTCCCTGCAGTCTCACTGCTCAATTCTCTGCCATTTAGGAGTAAAATGCCTTTGTTTATGCAGCCCTAGGTACATCTCCTTGCACGTGACTTACACAGTCTTCCTAAAAACTTCCTGTAAAGAGTCATCCAAGGTTGAAAATTTCCTTTATTGGAAATAGTTTACTTTAGACTGTCTTATCTCCTGCTCTGTTAATAGCTTGCTAGACCTTGCAGGAGCCTCCTGTTAGGGATTAAAGTTCAATTTACAGAGATAAAATTTTTTTAAAGTGACATCTGATTGAAAATGAAACCATTTTGTTTTTATGCAGGCCGTGTCAGTCACAGCCAGGGAGGTGTGGCTAGGGCTACATAAACAAATGTGATTTAACTCCTAAATGGCAGTGAATTGAGCAGTGAAACTTCAGAAGCATGGTCCATACACAAATAAAACAGATTTGTGTCAAACAGCTTAAATGTTTTAACAAAACAGGGCACTGTGGCTCTGGCCGCGCATGCGCATTCAGAGCCGACATCGGCAGGAGGAAGAGAGGTCACGGGCGCCGAGGGAGCCCGGCGCTGGATTAAGGCAAGTGGTTAAAGGGGTTTTATCCGCTTCAGCCCAGCAGGAGAGGAGGGGACCTAATAACCCTACAGTGCCAGGAAAACATGTTTGTTCTCCTGGCACTATAGTGCCCGTTTAAGGGTGCTGGGACAGTGCACCCAGACCCCTTCAATGAGTTGAAGTGGTCTGGCTACCTATTGCGTCCCTTTAACTCTACATGCTGACAGCAAACACACTATCACTCTCAGGTAGACACTGAGTGTATGTGGGAACTCACAGGGAGGGGTGATGTGAGGTTGCAACATGGTACCTCGCTGGCTGGTAGATAGTTTCTAGATGTGGATGACGGCATGAGGTAAGTTATTTGTAATATTAGTAAATTACAAGGCAGATACTGATTATCGGTAAAATGCTCAATATCAGCTCTAATAAAATCGGTGGAACGGATAGTTAATCTACCCCTAGTCTAGGTGGGAGCTGAGATCAGCGCTGGAGGCAAATTCAGGGTTAAACCGTTCGAGAACAGTTTAACCCATGAAAGGTAAGAATGCACCCGGGGGCTTCATTTAGATGAGGCTGTTTTGGTGCCTGGAGTGTTCTTTTAATATAAATAAACATTTCCACCTACTAATATATTTTAATATGATTAATGTGATTGTCACACCGGAGGGAACAAGTCACCCCCCTATTAATCACAGTATCCAACATTCTTTAGAGGAGATTTTCAGCAAATGTTATTGTATCAATGTATTGAACTCTCTTTCGTATTACTACTGCAGTATTGCATGCAGTACTGATAATTTTGTGAGTCTGCATGTGAATTAATGTGTCTTGGTTCGTTAAACCCAGTTGGAATTTTTACACAATCAATAGAAAAGGCTATGACTATTATATTTGCATTCCTGCCTCACTCTTCTCTGAACTGCACCATATTTGATCATCCTTTCAAAAAAATAAAAATATATAAAGATCACTGTTTTATAGCTATAACCCCAATGAAAATATCCCTACATTTCATAATGCATTTTTTTCCATTAGATGTAAATATAAAAAGAGCTTGCATAAGCTGCAAATATCTTGTCTGAAGCCTTTGCAAGCCACCCTTCTTCTCCAGACAGACTTCTTTCCAATGCAGCTCAATGAAAAGACTTTGCAAAGCAGGTACTCTGGGCAACTGACTACATCTTGAATTTAGCTTCACAGATCTAAACAACCTGGAAATAGGAGGACCGGATGTCTGAATGATAAGTTGTCTCACTTGTGCATTAGAAATGTTGAGTGTCCCTTTAAGGTCAAATTAAGATCAAGTAGTCAAACTAGATGCACAGTTGACAAAGAATATTTTAGATTTGGCTATTTTGGCCTTTAATTAGTAATTCACTCTGAATTACTGATATTTAGCACTTTTAGGTCCTCACTGACAGGGATAAAATGTGATTTGAATTGCATTTTCTCCCATTTACCTCCATTCTCCTTTTTGTCGGATATCATCAAGCTTCATGATCTCAAGCCAATCCTATGATTACCCATAAGAAAGCATTGGGAGGCAATTGCACATGCGCAGTAAAATGCTAGGCTGTGCTAAACAGATGGTCTTGCTAAGACCATCTGATTGAAATAGTAGTGGTCATTATGACAGCTAACCCTGACATGAAAATATTGCTGTTCCTGCAGTTATTTTTTTCAAAAGTATACAGTAATGTACTTTGCAAGCTTTTCACCTAAACAATTACATTATATAGTTTTTGTGTCTCTGAAGTTCTTTCAATTCTCAGTATTATTTTTAGTGGATACATTAACACACCAAGGGAATAAACAAAAAACACTGCAAAAAAACTGTCCTGGGTGACTTTGTAAGTCACCTTTTCATCAAGAACCAAAACTACATGATCTATTTTAGGAATGTTAGCCCTTTGTTTACAGAAGCAAAAGACTGCTATGCAGCTTCAAATTATAGTATGTTTATCCAATATTTAGCATGTTTGGCAAATGTTTAATAAAACAACTAAACACATTCAACATTCCAGCATTTTAACCAAATTTAACTTAGCAGCTGAAAGCCACTTTATAAGGAATTGTACATTTGGCAATTCTCTTGAATGTAAGGACCAGAACTACCCATTTTTCAAGGGTTATACCATTAAACTGTGCCCATAATTTCCTCAGTCTTTTTGCATCCCTTGCCAGGAAATGCTCTAAAGGAAACCGCTTACGAAGTGGATATGATTATTGGATGAACTGAAAGATTAACGGTGACTGAGATTTTTGCACAAGATGAAAACTAAAAGTTAATGTATTATTTTTATTTTTTTTAAACACTAGTCACCTGTCTCCCTGCCTTTCTTTTTTTTTTTGAAGGGACATGAGCTGACGTCATGCTCGACAGCTCCAATTGCATAAATGAGTATAAAGCCATCTATAAAACTGATAGCAGCCTCAGTGTACTTGAATGCTAACTTACAATAAACTCCTGCTCAGCACAGGTTTATCTGTAAAAACAGTAAACACAACAATGAAAAACACTCACTTTAAAAAAAGAGTGTTTCAGCAAATGATAATTAGCCACGGTTATTTAACTTCTGGGAAATAAAGGAGAATTTAAAGTGAATTTCAAAATAAAGGCAGAAAAATTCTCCTAGTCAATGTTTTCAGTTTAGTCTTAAATATAACTCACTTTGAATTCTCAGCGACTGCAATATATACTCATTAATAAATGTATGTTTTAGAAAGTAATCTAAGGTGGAGTATAAAAGCACACGTACTGTGTGCCACAGTCTTCCTCCTCAAAAATAAACACAGTGTCACCCACCTGTCCCCTTCAAAATGAACATGGCATCACATGACTCCCTGTCCCAGGGGAAAGCCTGCGCCCGGCTCCCCAGTCCCGCGGGGTACGCCTGCGCCCGGCTCTCTATAAGGTGTATGGCATGTATAGGCAACCTTCAGCACTCCAGATGTTTTGGACTACACCTCCCATAATATTTTTACCAGCACTATGGGTGTAAGAGCATTATGGCGGATGTAGACCACAACATCTGGGGCGCGGAAGGTTGCCGACCCCTGGACTGTATGTTATGGTGTCAACCACCTCTACCTCACCAAGGGATATAGCATCACCCGCCTCCCTGTTGTCGGGATATTGTTACATCTACCTCACCCTCTCTCTCATGAACCAGGTCACCACCTGCTACCCCAAATGGGGATATGATAACACCCTCCTCTGGATGCACCCCCCACCATCTCTACCAAACACCATACACTGCCACACCACACAAGTAAACTCCAGTATGACTAACCTTACTCACCTAGGGGTACCACAAACAAATTCCCATAACCCTGTCTGTCACTTTGTTTAGCTTCCTTAAACATCCCCCCCTCCTTTATATTCCTAACTCCTTTATCCCAGCAATACACGAGCTGTTCTCCCCCCCCCTCTCCTCTCTCTGACCTTTTTACGCATCAGTCGGGCTTTTCCTTTAAAGGTACCCAAGGCCCAGCCGGATAACTGCTTCCGCAACCCACAGGGCGGATAGATAGTCTACTACACAGCAACCGCAGCAAGATGGCTGGCTTCTCGCCCCGGTCACGTGACGAAAAGCGGAGCCGAGCGCCTATTGGTCGCCGTGCTGCTAGCTTGCTCCCTCTGGCCAATGGCATCTCGCGCGGGGCGTGTCGTTACCCGGAACAAGGTTGTTTTTTTTTTTTTTTTTTTTTAAAAGGGAACCTGCAGAGCGAGGCTTGGAACGCATTGTGTTGACAGTGACAGTTTGTAGGAAGCCGCGCATGGGCTGTTAATGTGAAAGGTTGTGCTGGGGGTATGTGTGGACCAAGGCATGTCACACCCGCCGAATTCTATTTTATATAAATTATTTTATTATAATTCCAATTCATGTGGTCTAGTTTAATGTGTGTTTTTTTTTAATTTTTTGTAATTTTTTTTTTACATTTTTTAAATTTATTTTTATTTCATTTTTAAATTTTTTTTTAAAATTTCTGTGATTTAATTTACCTGTCTATAGATTTTACAAGTAGTGATGGTGTCAAACTCAACTGGCAGAAGGTAGGGTTGAAAAAGCGCAGCTTTGAATTGTGTAAAAGGCAAGGTTCATATTAAATAAATGTTTAGTCTGTCCATTATGATTGTGAAAGTGCAATAAAACGTATAAATGTAAAGCATACCTCCCAAGTGCCCTTATTTAGGAAGGACAGTCCCTATCCTGCATCCAAATCCCTCTATCCCTCTTTTGTAAGAGTTCCAGATTGTTTGAGTGTTTAACAGAGCTCAAAAAAAAAATAAAAAAACATAACATTAAAGGGACACTATAGTCACCTGAACAACTTTAGCTTAATGAAGCAGTTTTGGTGTATAGAACATGCCCCTGCAGCCTCACGGCTCAATCCTCTGCCATATAGGAGTTAAATCCCTTTGTTTATGAACCCTAGTCACACCTCCCTGCAGGTGACTTTCTTATCCCCTACTATGTTAATAGCTTGCTAGACCCTGCAAGAGCCTCCTGGATGTGATTAAAGTTCAATTTAGAGATTGAGATACAATTATTTAAGGTAAATTCAGTGGCGTACACATGACCCATGGGGCCTCGGTGCGAAAATTGATCCGTGGTCCCCGGCGGGCGGGGCCAGCATGGCGGTGGGCACCTGGTCCAGGGGTTACAGGGCTGCGACCCCTGCGACCGCGGTATGTACGCCAGTGCATGCAGATGCACACACACTTAAAGGACCACTCTAGGCACCCAGACCACTTCAGCTTAATGAAGTGGTCTGGGTGCCAGGTCCAGCTAGGGTTAACCCATTTTTTCATAAACATAGCAGTTTCAGAGAAACTGCTATGTTTATGAATGGGTTAAGCCTTCCCCTATTTCCTCTAGCGGCTGTCTCATTGACAGCCGCTAGAGGCGCTTGCGTGCTTCTCACTGTGATTTTCACAGTGAGAGCACGCCAGCGTCCATAGGAAAGCATTATGAATGCTTTCCTATGTGACCGGCTGAATGCGCGCGCAGCTCTTGCCGTGCGTGCATACAGCCGATGGGGAGGAGAAGAGGAGGATCGGAGGAGGAGAGCTCTCCGCCCAGCACTGGAAAAAGGTAAGTTTTACCCCTTTTCCCCTTTCCAGAGCCGGGCGGGAGGGGGTCCCTGAGGGTGGGGGCACCCTCAGGGCACTATAGTGCCAGGAAACGTGTATGTTTTCCTTTAAAGGACCACTACAGACACCCAGATCACATCAGCTCAATGAAGTTGTCTGGGTGTCAGGTCCCTCTAGTTTTAACCCTGCAGCTGAAAACATAGCAGTTTCAGAGAAACTGCTATGTTTCACTGAGGGTTAATCCAGCCTCTAGTGGCTGTCTCACTGACAGCCGCTAGAGGAGCACACTGAACGTCCATAGGAAAGCATTGAGTAATGCTTTCCTATGGGCGGTTTGAATGCGTGCGCGGTCTCATTCGGAGCTGAGGGCTGAGGGATCCCCAGCGCCAAGGGAGTCCGGCGCTGGAGAAAGGTAAGTGCTGAAGACACACACACTCTCACTTACAGACGCATACACACTAGCTAACAGAGACACACTCAGCGACAGACATACATACACACTCACTTACAAAACATACACTCTCATTGACAAACATTGACAAACACACACTCACTAACAGACATCAAACAGACTCACTAAGACACTCACTCTAACACTCACACTAACACTCACACTAACACTCACTCTAACACTCACACTAACACTCACTCTAACACTCACAAACATTAACACTCACTCTAACACTCACACACACTCAAACACTCACACATGTTTTTTTGTTTTTTTTTAATATAATCCCTGGGGTCCAGTGGTGGTGCTGCTGGGCTCCTGGGCGGGTGGCCTCCGGCATCAGTGCAGTGCGCGAGGGAGCTGAAGAGGAAGCACTGAGTGCTCCCTCGCGCGCCTGCCTGCCCGACCGGCCACCCGCCCAGGAGTGTGTGTGTGACAGCAGGGCCAGCCTCGGGGGGCCCTGAGGTGGCCGGCTCCTGGGCCCCCCAGGGGAAGAGGCTGGCCCTGTGGGTACATACCGGGTCGCAGGGGCGGCCGAGCCCCCTGGTGGGCCGGGCCCGGTCACAGCCGCGACCCCTGCGACCCTGGTATGTACGCCACTGGGTAAATTACATCTGTTTGAAAGTGAAACCAGTTTTTTTTTCATCCAGGCTCTGTCAATCATAGCCAGGGGAGGTGTTGCTAGGGCTGCATAAACAGAAACAAAGTGATTTAACTCCTAAATGGCAGTGAATTGAGCAGTGAAATGGCAGGGGAATGATCTATATACTTAAACCTTTAAATAAGGAACTGAATTAAAAAAATCTTAAAGTATGTATATCAAAGGGCTGCATCACATATAAATCGAGTGACATGAGGATCTGTAATACATAGAGATTAAACGGAATAGGTGAGCGCTCCAACAATAAAAATCATCACCAGTTCCAGTTTAGACTATTAAACAATGTAACTGAATAAACAATCTAACCAATCTCAGAATTGTAGCAAACATGTAGTTATATGTATCACCAACTATTTATGTTGCACACATCAAATGTCTAACTGTACACATTAATCTCTAAGTCAACCATCAATAATATATATAAATATGTAAGATAATAAAAGACAAGCTTTTTATTTACTCATTTGAAAAAGAAATATAAAGGCAATTCACCAGTATATAAATATACACAGTATTATAAAGTGGTCCAATGACATATTGATGAATTTTCTCTATCTAAAATCAAATACATAAAACACGTATAGAGCATTGAATCAATAATAAAATAATCATGTAAAAAATAAGATAAATATCTAATGTTTAATGCGGGGCCCCTTCATTGGAAATGTCTCGGATCCCACAAAAAAAAGATAAACAGTGTAATTCGTACTAAACAGTGTGATGGTCGAGGAGGATAAATAAAACCCGGAGGGCAGGGAGCTCTAAAACCCACCGGACAGTTAATACCACTCTCAATGAAGTCCTGTATAGTCTACTGAATTCCAAGTGTAGTACCACGACTTGCTGAATATCTTTTCTGTTGTTTTTTTCCCGAAATCTAAACTTCGGAGGGCTGAACTTCTGTCTACTACAGTTTATTATTTTTGTAATTCGTACTGCTTGACAATCCCTACTCCCTCGTAGGGCTTCTAGCCTTGTATTTGTGTAGTTCTTCTTTGTCCTGTTTTAACCTAAAATGTAAAATTCATCCTGAATCCCAGTCACTTAACAAGTTAGTACATTACATCAACTTGCTACATTAAATCACCAAGCTGAGCTATAAAGCATCAGATGTAACCAGTAAAGAGCCTATAACCAAACTGATTTTCTGTTTGTTTTTATAGACATTCAGGATGCTCGTAGACGTTAAACCTAGTTTCTTTGGGGTTCTCATTGATTCAAACAGCCAGTTTGAGTCCATGGGGTTTATTCACTAGAGAAAGAATTATAAAAATTGTAAAGGAAATTTCAATTTTACCACATGACAGGAGGCTTCTTATTTTGCATTAAACTCTCTTTACTAACTCAACATAGCAGTAAAGAAAAGTGAAAACATTAACCAATCAAAATGCAATAGGAAGTATAGTATTCCCAGTGATGAGGCTCCTCCCCCTCTTTCTTTACTGCTCCATCAGCAGACAGGTTAGAGTTTTTAGCTTTTCCTTTATATTACTGTTTATATTGATTTGTGTATACTTTTTATATAGTTATATACTGTGTGTATGCTGGTTATACTGATTTATGTATACTTCTTTTCATATAGTTATATACTGTGTGTATACTCCTCCTATACTCACATACTGTGTTCTCTCTAGTCATCTTAGGGACTCTTCCCACTTTAATATACCTTTCTTCAGAGACTCTCTTCCCTGCTCCCTTAGCTACCCCTTCTCTTGAGGGTTTTTTTTATTTCGCCTTTTCATTCTCTTAATTTTGTTCTGTCACCATTTCGATCCGTCGGTCTTTTCACCGACGGATCGTTTTTTTGCTTGCCTCGTTTTTTCTCATACCTCTGAGGGTAACAATCGCACTCCCCCATCTGTTCTCTCCCTCGCGGCTTCACAGCCGCACTCACAATAGCCGGCACGGCGGGAAGCCTTTTTTCCCGTCTTTCCGGCGGCCATCTTGGATCTCGCGAGACCTGCGGCCGCCATCTTAGGAGATCCACAATCTCCATCATTCCGGCTCCTGAACGCTCCGCTACCCGACACATCCTCAAGCAGGCAGGGGTCATCAGGTCAGTTGCCTATACTGTAGCCTGCACTATAGGGTCTGTTAACCCTGTGCATTTGGGGTGAGGCCCCTATTATATTGCTGCTGCCAGGTGGATTTCGTGCCACCTATGTATATATAACTGGGTGAGGCCCAGTACAAAGCCCAATATACCCTGCTGGGGTTACTGGTATTGCTGATACCTCATACACTGATATTGCATATTCACCCTGCTGGGGTGTATCATACTACTGATACTACTATATCATCTACCCTGTTGGGCCTATTCTCTTAAGGTACTACTGATACCACTATTACATTTTATATTGTGATAAAGTGAAGGCAGTTAGGCCTATAACATTTAACCCCAGGGGGAGTATGTGTAGTATGTGTTGTAGGCAACACAAACCAGCATTTAGTTATGGGCCCCTGGGGTGGAGCATTTGGAGAGCAGGGTGGGCCAATGCTCCACTCCGCAGTTTAGCGGTTTTCTTGAGAGACATAGATCCAGGCCAGGGTTTTTTGGACTGTCTCCAACCCACTGCTCAGCTGCAGGTAATCAGCTGCAGCAGTGGGAATAAACCCCTCCCTGCTATGCAGGTAGAGGGGGGATTTCTGGCTTCCTTCCTGGAAGCAGGTTGGCGAGAGGCAAGGAGACTGAGCACTGGGAGTGCAGCAGTCAAGGCTGGCTTGGAGCACTGGGAGTGCGGAAAAGAGAGAGAATGTTTATTTCTCTCTTGAAGGGCTGGAAGCAGCAGGCTGTCTAAAACACTGGAATGCTGAGAGCTGACAAAGACACTAGGTTGGTGAAACCACTTCTTGTTTTGTTATGGATTAAACCCTTGAGAGAGAGGGAACTTGATGTTAGTTAGTGCTCAGACCGAGCTAGGTTTTTGTTTATAGGGTTTTGTTACATTTTGTTTTCATGTGCTGCTGTCTTTGTGGAGAAGCTCATCAATAAAGTGCCATCAATAAGTTACCTTTAAAGACTGTGCATTTTTCTACCCAAAAGGACCGTGCTAACTGCAGACAAGGATCACCATATGGTGGAGAATGCGGGCACAGTAGCACATTGAGGGTCTATGGGTGTGCCAGTCATTCGGTAGTCTGTTTGAGGACTTTTTATTTTTGCAGTCCTGTTTAAAAAATAAGTAGCACTGTACATTTAAGACTGTTACCTGCTTGGTGCTATAATGGAGGACCTGCTGAAGGCTGTGGTACAGGCAATCGCTAAACAACAAGACACCAGCCGTTTACTGGCTGCACAGTTTAAGAACCTGAGGGACGCTCAGCAGGAGAATAGAGCTGCCCTTACTGAGGTTTTGCAGATTTCCCCCTGCAGAGAGCGTGGGGACAAGGGACCCAGTAACCACGTTACTGACATCCTGCATAACGTGACAGAGGCAGTAGAGGAAGTCTTTAGCAAGCTGAAAAGCATGGAGGAAGCAAAGTGTGATGTTGAGAAACACGCAGGAGAAAGAATGACTGTGAATGAGGCCAGCAGTGTCAAGTCGGTTTATACTATAAAGAATGAGACAAGTAAAGCTAGTGAATACAGCCAGGGAAAGAAAAATTAAACAGAAGCCCCTGATGTACACCCAAGTGAACAAGTCAAAGGCATGAAAAGAAGACTGACTTGGGGAGTCAGAGAAGACAACAGCAAAGGAGCTGAGCTTAATAGAGAGAAGCAAAGCACCCCAGTTGAGTATAGCAATGCGGTGCACTGTTTAGTAGCTGAGGCTACCCCAGAATGTCGACCAGCTGTTGAACAGTTTGGCAGAGAAAAGCAAGGCCGAGAAGAGGTGGCAAAACAAAGTCAAAATAAGAAAGGCAAAGCAGCCGCTTCTGATCTAAGCCAAGAGAGAGCGACCGTTACAGAACCAAGCTGTGGTAATAAGATTGGCACGTCCGCACCTAAGCCCAACCAAGGCGAAAGTGACATAGTAGAAGAGTGAGAAGTATCGGTGTAGCGCTCTATAATAGTGGATGTGTAACAATGAATAAAAGAAAACCTTGCTATACCTTGATGGATTATATATACTTATAAATAGTCCCAGTGTTTTCAGGTTTACCTTAAATAAAAAACACAAATATACAGAACATAGTTTAACCTGTATATAAAACGTAAATAGAAATAAAGTGCATAGGTAACTCACTCACACTTTTCTGAGCTAATGTACTAGCTCAGGTATATGCGCCTTAGGGTCCGTAGAGGCGACCCTTCCCCTCCTTTTCGTCCAAATTTTCTCCAGGTACAATGTCCTAGGTAATAGGTATAGGAGGAAAAAATAGCGTAGTACAGTCTGATGTATATAAGGTATATTTAATAAATAATACCAATATACTCACAAACCTGAGCCAATATATCGGCTCGCTTCATAAGATGTATGTGGTTAAGGACCACATTCCTTCTTTATAGTAGCAGGTGGGAATAAAAGCCGTAAGTGTGATAAAAATATATATATATAATTTATTGTATAAAAAGTATAACATAAATATAAAAAATATTCTGTATCAATAAAATCAACACTTGTGGCTATAGTCCAAAAGACAATTTAGTCTGCTCACTGTTCATCCAGGACGCGTTTCACCAAATTGGATTCCAGAAACGCGTCCTGGATAAACAGTGAGCAGACTAAATTGTCTTTTGGACTATAGCCACAACTGTTGATTTTATTGATATAGTATATTTTTTATATTTATGTTATACTTTTTATACAATAAATTATATATATATTTTTATCACACTTACGGCTTTTATTCCCATCTGCTACTATAAAGAAGGAATGTGGTCCTTAACCACATACATCTTATGAAGCGAGCCGATATATTGGCTCAGGGTTTGTGAGTATATTGGTATTATTTATTAAATATACCTTATATACATCAGACTGTACTACGCAATTTTTTCCTCCTATACCTATTACCTAGGACATTGTACCTGGAGAAAATTTGGACGAAAAGGAGGGGAAGGGTCGCCTCTACGGACCCTAAGGCGCATATACCTGAGCTAGTACATTAGCTCAGAAAAGTGTGAGTGAGTTACCTATGCACTTTATTTCTATTTACGTTTTATATACAGGTTACACTATGTTCTGTATATTTGTGTTTTTTATTTAAGGTAAACCTGAAAACACTGGGACTATTTATAAGTATATATAATCCATCAAGGTATAGCAAGGTTTTCTTTTATTCATTGTTACACATCCACTATTATAGAGCGCTACACCGATACTTCTCACTCTTCCACCATTTTCCAATAGAAAGATAAGCACGGTGGTATAGCAGCTCATATCAAATCTGTTTGGTATAATCTTAATTTAAAACTATATATAGAAGCGCTTGTACTCCCCATCTTCATCTATCTGAAAGTGACATAGTAGATGACATTGGCTTAGAAATAAATATTTAAGAGACACCTGGTATTGCTACAAAGGCTTTGAATGATTGTCCGGGAGCTGTAGAACTTGATCTGCTGGCAAAGACTACTGCTACAAGGCCTGGGCGCACTGACCACCTGGAACAGCTGCCAGATTCTGGGAACACAGTCATGGAGTTAAAGGCGGGACTCGGAATGCCTGACTGGCTGTTTGATACCGGAGCTGTAATGACTCAGCGAGAGGCCATGACTGCGTCTCTGGACACCCCCGAGGGAGCAGGGAGACCGCCAGAGAGCCCAGAGGAAAGCATTGCTGGCATTGAGAGGTGGCCACTCAGGGCCAAGCAAGCAGAGGATACCCCTGGGGAGGAAACCAGGCAAAGGAAAGATGAACTAAGCCGGGAGTCTGGGCCTCAGGCAGAAGAACAGCGCTCCATACCAGACCAGGCCGAGCATGATGGGATGGAGCTGGGATCAAAGGCTGCATTCATGCAGGAGGAGGATGCTCTAGACAGCCTCCCTGGCCAACCCCCTGAGGGTATAGAGATGAGACCTGTAGCATTACCCGTAGGGAGCAAGGAAGGCTCCCAGGAATTCGCAGAACTGATGGAGGATGTTGTGGAGCCCTTCACGGAGGGACCTGTTCCAGTGGAGGATGAGCTGGTGACAGAACCAGGTCTTGAAGAGGTTGAGCACCCAGAAAATTCAGCTCATGAAGGAATCATAAGTGATATACGTATAAATGATATAGAAAAGTTGAGTTGCACGCAAAGCCTTTGTAAAGTTTGCATTGGGAAGTAACTCGGACATTGAAAGATTATCAAACCAGAAGCTGCTGCGGATGATGATTGAGAGGAACTTGGCTGCTAAGGAGCCACACAGTATTGAGCCTCAGCCTAGATCCGCTAGCAACCAAATAAGCGGGGAAACTGAAAAGAAAGGCCAAAACCTGATACTGAGTCTGGGACAATATAACTATGATGGTAGAACGTACCCAAAAGTCCCATCACAGCTACGAGACCAGACTGAGAAACTCAGATGCTTCTACTGCCACATGCAAGGACATATTACATATAAGTGTCCTGAGAGTGAAGAGCCAATACAGTGTGACATACGAATAAGGGCTCTGCATAGGATTGTATTGACTTACTTAAAGATGTGTGTGGTGACTAGTGGTGGTGTTACAGCACAGTTAAAAGTGGTGATGGTGGAAGGGAATTGTGTACAAGCACTAATCCATTCAGGGAGTGAGGTTACTTTGATGAAAAGTGTTCTCTTCCAGCCAGAGAAATGTGATACAAGACAAATTATTAATATTGTGTGTACAAATGGTGACACCCGCACATACCCCACGGCAGAGGTAGAGTTTGTTACAGAGGTTGTAAATGTTAAATGCCCTATAGTACATGTAGCTCAAACGCAAGAGCGGATAAGTAAGGCCAGGTATCGGAGTACCTTGGACCTGGTCATAGGGTATTGGCAGGTTCCCCTGACAGAGAAAGCAAAGGGAAGGACAGTGTTTTCTACTCCCGAGGGGTTGTGGCAACATAAAATACTGCCATTCAGGTTGCATGTTGCAACGGCACCCTTTCCGCATATGACGAATAGGATACTTTGGCCCC